AATAAGCACGCTTGCATGCTCATGTACATGTATACACACACACACACACACACACAGCCTTCAGGGCCTGAATTCAAACCCCAGATCCAATAAGCACGCATGCATGCTCACGTACGTGTACACACACACACACACACACACACACACACACACACACACAGCCTTCAGGGCCTGAATTCAAACCCCAGATCCAATAAGCACGCATGCATGCTCACGTACGTGTACACACACACACACACACACACACACACACACACACACACACAGCCTTCAGGGCCTGAATTCAAACCCCAGATCCAATAAGCACGCATGCATGCTCACGTATGTGTACACACACACACACACACACACACACACACACACACAGCCTAAGGGCACCCAGGCCTTGAATTGAAACCCAAAGGACCAGCCAAAAACAAAACAAAACAAAACAAAAAACTCTAAGGAACTAGGAGCATTTTTGCTTTCTTTTTGGTAAACTGGAAGGGGAAGTCTGCCTGCCTTTGCTGGAGAGGAGGGTAGGTATATAGTAAAATCAAGACTTAGTAGTTGAGGAAGAGTTAGGCGTTTGCTGGGATTCTTTTGTGTCCCTGGGTAGATATGGAGGTGTCATTCAGACAAGGACTGAGTGGGGTGTCAGAGGAAAGCTATGTCCTGCCAAAGGTAAGAAGGAAAACTAATCACAGAGTACATAATTATGTATAGCCAATTGTATTTTAAAAAATATGGACTTAGAGGCCAGGCATCAGTGGCTCATCTCTGTAATCCTAGCTACTCAGGAGGCTGAGAGCTGAAGATCCTGATTCAAAGCCAGCCAGGGAAGGAAAGTCCATGAGACTCTTATCTCCAATTTAACCACCAGAAACCTGGAAGTGGTGCTGTGGCTCGAAGTGGGAGACCATGAGCTGAAGAGCTAAGGGACGGTGCCCAGGCCCAGACTTCAAACCCCATGACTGAAAAAAATATACTTAGTTTTGTAGTCTCTGTTTATCCGCCATTTATCTCTCCACCGGTTTAGTTACTCACAGTCAAATGCAATCCAAAAATATTCAGTGGAAAATTCCAGAAACAAATAATCCATAAGCCTTATTCTTTTTAATTTTGTTGAAAAATTAAATTGCTATGTTGCCAGGCCGGTCTCAAACTGATAGGCTCCAGTAAATGTCTCACCTCATCTCTAGAGTTGCTGGGACTATGTGTATTACTATGCTGGACTTAGCAATTCTTCAGTTTTAGTTTGTGCAAAGTTCTGAGTAGCATAATGAGACCTTGCACCATTCTGCTCTTTTCCTCCCCTCAGAGGTAATCATCCTTCTGTCCAGTGGGCCCACTTAGTATATACTACCTACCTGGTAGCTACTCAGCATACACCTGTTTCACTTGTCTTATAGTTCAATATTGTAATGTTTATTTACTTGAGTCTTGCTATGGAGCCCAAACTAGCTTTGAACTCCTTCTTTTTTTTTGGGGGGGGGGGGGGTTAAGTATTGAGGTTTGAACTTAGGGTCTTGTGCTTGCTATGCATACCCTTTACTGCTGATCTCAGCCTCCAGGCCTGTTTTTTGCTCATAATTTTTTTTATTGTGAAAATACTGTACAGAGGGGTTACAATTACATGGGGAAGGTGTTGCTAGTAATTTTTGAGATAGGGCCTTGCTTCCCACCTGAGTCCACACCTGGATCTAAATCCATCTATCTTAGGCTTCCCATCATTACTGGGACCACAGGCACAGATTACTTCATGTAGTTTCCCTCTGTTGCAATGGAATCTCAAAACTTTTTGGCTGCATGCCAGGGGCTCAAACCGTAATTCTAGCTACTCAAGAGACTGAGAGCTGAGGATCACAGTTCAAATCCGTGACTCATCTCCAATTCACCATCAAAAGCTGGAAGTGGAGCACTGTTCAAGTGGTAGTGCGCTAGCCTTGAACAAAATAGCTCAGGGACAGTGCCTAGGCCCTGAGTTCAAGCCCCAGGATTGGTACACACAAAAATTTTCTGCCCTGGTTGGCCTGGAGCTACAATCCTCCCAATTTTAACCTCCCACACAATTTAGGATGACAGGTACATATCACCATACCAGCTATGTGTTGATATAAAGTCTCACCAACTTTTCTGTCTGGACTGCCTTGAAAGAAGAGAGTCCCATTCTAAGCTTTCCATGTAGCTGGGATTATGGGCATGAGCCACCAGCATCCTATGGGAAAGTTCTGGGGAAAAAACAAAAAAAAACTTACACCCCACCTATTTGGAAGTGCATGTTGCGCTGGGTGAGACCTGCTGCTGCCCTGCATGAGTCCACAACCCAACAGCTCCTTTATTCCACTGTACTTACACCCCAGACTTCCCCCACTTGCCTTTAGTACCTGTTATATCTCCAATTCTCTTTGGTGTTACTTGGGGCCCCTCTTTAGTGCTGACTGATTAAAGCCTGACCGGATCTATTTGAGGTCTCGTTTTCTTTTTTTTTTGCCAGTTGTGGGGGCTGAACTCTGGGCCTGGGCGCTGTCCCTCAGCTCTTCAGCTCAAGGCTAGTGCCCTACCACTTGAGCCACAGGACTACTTCTGTCTTTTTTCTGCTTATGTGGTGCTGAGGACTCGAACCCAGGGCCTCATGCATGCAAGGCAAGCACTCTACCACTGAGCCAACTTCCCAGCCCCATGAGGTCTCTTGTTTTCTTTCTTTCCTTTCATCTGCTAGATCTTTCCTAATATCACCCACTACTGAGGCTTGAACTTAGGGCTTGGGCACTGTCTCTTAGTAGTGTTCTACCACTTGATCTATAGCTCTTCTTCCGGCTTTTTGGTGGTTAATTGGTGATAAAACTCAGGGAATGCCTAGTCTGGCTTTGAACCCTGATCCTCAGATCTCAGCCTCCTGAGTAAGTAGGATTACAGGCCTGAGCCCCAGTGTCCAGCATCCCTTCCAGTTTTGAATTTGTATGTATCTTGACCATCCTGGTTGTTTGACACTTCACTGTGATTCTTATAGTTTTGAGTTTAATTATGTCTCCCCAAAATCTATGTATATTCCCAACATCTTTCTGCTTTTATGTTTTGGATAGAGTGTTGTATTTTTGCCTAGGCCACACTGGATAGCGGGCTTCCTGTTTGTGTCTCCTGTGTATTTGGGATGGACATCATGCTCAGCTTGTTGGTAGAGATGGGATCATTTTTTGGCCTAGATTGGCCTTGAATCCCAATCCTCCTGATCTCTGCCTCCCTATGCTTAAGTTTTTTTTTTTTTTTTTTTGTGCCACTTCTAGTTTTCTGGTGGGTTTTTGTGTGTGTGTGTGTGTGATTAAGTGAGTACATAATTTCCCAAATTTCACCTATGCTTAAGTTTTGAGGAAGAGTTGTTAATACTATTCAAATTGTGAATAGGATAGTCAGTTTGGGGTGGCTATGGAAGAAAATAGAAGAGAGCTTATTATATATCTTCAAGGGAGGGTCACTACATTCCATATTGGATGCCATGCAAGACCACAGGGTGATCAACATCAAGGTGGTCTTAAGGCTGAAGGCTGGAATAGAGGACAGCTTGGGCTGTGGTCTTTACTGGCATGGTCGAGCGGAAGACAAGGCAGATAGGTTAGGGTAAGCAGGTGCGGATTGGCCCAGTTGGAATAATTTCTAGGGGCTCTAAATTAGAGGACTGGTTCCTTTTGCCTGGAACCAGTGCCTTTGGGATGAGGAAGGCAGAAATAGGTAGAGGTCAGGCTGTAGAGTGGTTAGTTTGCCATTGCTGCAGACCTTGCTGAATTGTCTCTCCTTCAGGATACCCATCAACCTTTTATACCTCTTCAGAGACTCAAATGATCAGAATCTGCCTTTGCTTCCCTAAGAATCACCTAGCCCAGGAAGGGCCAGAGGGGCATCTGCCTCAGCTAGAAAGATTTTTTTGAAGTTGTCAAAATACATTTATACCTGGGAAAAAACCCACACAAGTAAAGTACACATTTCTTTGAGGCAGGAACCATATTTTTTTTGTTCTTCAGCACTTCATTAGGTAACAAATAATGAACAAATGCCTTAATTGGAAAACAAAATGCCTTTTGTAGGAAATGGAACTTTCCATACTTGAATGTGTCATATAAACTAATTCAAGCCAGGCACTGGTGGCTCATACCTGTAATCCTACCTACTCAGGAGGCTGAGATTTAAGGATCACGGTTCAAAGCCAGCCTGGGCAGGAAAGTCTGTGAGACTCTTTTCTCCAATAAACCACTAGAAAACCGGAAGTGGCATTGTAGCTCAAGTGGTAGATGGCCTTGAGCTGAAGAGCGTGAGGACAGCGCCCAGAGTTCAAGCCCCACAATCGACAAAAAAAAAAAAAAAAAGTTAATGCAACATAAATATTAAATTCTTTTGAGGTCTGTAAAGATTGGCATTGTATATATTAGTATTTTAATTTTTAAACATTTTCACAATTCATTTTGTAAGCTTTTATTTTTAACAATCAGATAAAATAAAATTCTTGTACACATTTCTAAAATTACTATTCAGAAATTTTATACTTAAGTCAACAGTGTTTAGTAAAAAATATTTTGAATTCTCTACCTAAAATATAAAAAATCACATTCTCTTTATTATCTTAAACTGAAAATCTTTATCTTCCTGAGGGAACATATATGTATCAGAAATGCATTTTTCTTTTTCTGTTTTTTTTTTTTTTTTTTGGTCTTTGGAGACAGGGTCTCACTCTAGCCCAAGCTGACCCCAAATTTAAGATTCTCTTTCCTCAACCTCCCAAGTGCTGCAATTACAAGCTTGTGGCCACCATATTTGGCTCAGAAATACATTTGTCAAATGTATTTTCAAATTTTGAAAACATCAAATGATTAAAAATTTGGCTTTCTCATTTCTTGTCTGTTGCTGTGAGTTTATAGTTGGGTTGTGTACATAGTTTCTGGTGTCCTAAATATTCTCTACTCAAACATCACTGGCTTTGCAAGGCAGTGGTCCAGTGTCCTAGTAAAGTATTAGAAGGGAAGTCTGGGACCTTTGTAAGCTTCTGGACTTTCTGTTTACTTAACGGCTTACTTTGAGAAGCAAAAGGGAAGGAATCAAATACCCCTCCCCAAATAGTTTCTGACAGGCAAATGTGTATGTATCTATTGTAAGTAATTCAAGAATATGCATATATATTTTTGAATTGACATTCAATGTCTAGTTATATATCAGGAACTTTTAAGATAAATATAAGATTTAAATCTCTTTTGCTGACTTTCCATTAATAACATGTGAAAAAAACAAACTCTTCTTTCAAGATTTAAAATTCAAGATTGCTTCTCCCCTTCTTCAGCTCCTAATAAGCACCGAGAAGCAATTTGCATCAATTCACCACCTACTCCTTGGCATCCCCAATTCCTCCAGCAGTTATTGCGAAGGTGGCTTCATTTTCAGGCATCTCAGGGCTAACAGAATACAAGGGAACAGAAGTTTATAAAAAGCTCTATTTCTATAAATACTATATTCATGTCACAGGCAACATGCTCCATCAGTCTGAGTCTCCAAGGACAGCGCAGACTTGGTGCAGCTAAATGTGGACTATGGAATTTGCCTGCAACTTTTATTAACCCTCACATTTGTTCAACAAATTCTATGTATAAGGTTCTGAATATCAAAAAACTACCCCAAACTTGGAACCAGACAAGAGGGATAACTGCACCTTTTAGGGTACTGTCATGCCCTCAGACTTTCAGAACCTCTTTTCTTTAGAAAAATACAGCCTTAGTTATTTTTGTTAGTGTAATGAAAAGATGATTAGAGACCAAAACAGTTGACCTCACAGAGCATGTTCTTAACCATATTGTTCCTCAAAGATTTTGCTTGCTTGTTGTTGTTTGTTAGAAGATTGAAGGCAGTATACTTCTCGTGTACAAGGGTAAAGTTACTTCTCTTAGGAAATAGCAGAGGGGTTTCCTGAGGATAGCAATGGAGGATAGATAAGGTAGGCCTTGCTACACTCTTAACTGGTGTTGAGTAAGTAGATCTAAGTGGAATTACAAAATAATTTAGTAGCTTTATTTGAAACAATACTACCAGCTACTTTGAAATGGCAAAAAGTAAAATGAAAACTCTCTAGAGTTAGTGAAGGAACTGAAAAAGAGGAAACCCATACAAAGTATTTGTAAAGTTGAACAAGGGCTGTTTTCTCTGTGCTTATTTTTAAAACAGAATCAGAAGTAATTGCTTCAGAAAATTTGATCAGGAGTATGATTTTTCACTTTCTGATAGTTATTTAAAATTTTGTCTTTGACTTCAATGGGGGGAGGTGACCAAGTGAGTGCCCACGCATGCGCACACACATGCACACCCTGGGACTAAACTCAGGGCCTGGGCACTCACTGTTCCTGAGCTTTTTTTGCTCAAGAACTCTACTATTTAGACCACAACTCCCCTGGCTTTTTGGTAGTTTATTATAGGACTTTCCTGCCCAGGCTGGCTTTAAACCTTGATCCTCAGATCTCAGCCTCCTGAGTAACCAGGATTATAGGCATCAGCTACCAAAGCCCATCTGTGGAGTGCTGGGATTGCAGGTGTGCCCTACCATACCTGGTTTAAGGAAATTATATTTAAATTGAAAACATGAAAAGCATTAAGCTGGTAAAGAGGAAAAGGAAAATATATTCCCTTACTTTGCACTTCCTCAGTGTCTTAATACCTTTTTGTTGGAATTGATGTTAGTTAACTGTTTAGCTTCACTGTACGGAAAAGACAGAGACCAACGATATGTGACTACAGAATCCCTAAACCTCTAGTATCTATCACACACTAGGAACATTCCAATCAATTGCCTAGGTTTTGAGCAAGAACTGCCAACAGAGTATCTGCCAATGGAATAATTATAGCTTCATAGGAGAGGCAATTATGTTTAAAATCATATATACAAAAATCTGATGAAGAAAAAGAAAAAGACTTGCCTGTCATAAATCTTAGCAATTCTCAGTTCTCCTCTTCCCTTTCGCAAGCTTATTCTTGTTGTTGAAGCATGAGCCAGAATGTGGCCTCCGATGGGTTTTTTTGGATCTGCCTGGAAGCTGAATCAATAAAATGCCTTTTCAGGTTTCATCATAAAGACTGTATGTAGAGATATTGCAATGGCAAGACAACCTTTCTGGGCTGGGAAGGTGGCTCAGTGGTAGAGCGCTTGCCTTGCATGCACGAGGCCCTGGGTTCGATTCCTCAGCGCCACATAAGCAAAAAAAAAAAAAAAAAGCCGGAAGTGGCGCTGTGGCTCAAGTGGTAGAGCGCTAGCCTTGAGCTGAAGAGCTGAGGGACAGCGCCCAGGCTCAGAGTTCAGGCCTTACAACGGGAACCAAAAATAAATAAATAAATAAATAACATATAAAGATTGAGCCAGGTGTTGGTGGTTCATGCCTGTAATCCTAGCTACTCAGGAAGCTGAGATCTGAGGATTTCAGCTCAAAGCCAGCCCAGGCAGGAAAGTTGTGAGAGTCTTATCTCCAGTTAAGTACTATAAAGCTGGAAAGCTGTTAGCCTTGAACACAAAAACTCAGGGACAACTCCCAGGCTACAGGACAGGCACACATATGTGCGTGCGTGCACACACACACACACACACACACACACACACACACACACACACACACACAAACCCCAAAACATATAAAGATTGGATTTATTTATATTCACTCATCAGCAATATTAATGGTCTATTATGTGACATGCTAGTCTAATGACTAGGAATTATTCAGCCTTTCTCCATAATGGAGATTATATCTTTGTGCCTACGAGATCCTCAATAATTCTATCATTAACTGAATTATTCAGATTCAACAATCACTCTTTCAATGAGATGTAGACCAAGAAACTTTTCTTAAAATGTCTTTGAACTGGGCTGGGAAGGTGGCTCAGTGGTAGAGCACTTGCCTTGCATGCTTGAGGCCCTGGGTTCGATTCCTCAGCACCACATAAGTAAAAAGCCGGAAGTGGCGCTGTGGCTCAAGTGGTAGAGTGCTAGCCTTGAGCTGAAGAGCTGAAGGGACAGCGCCCAGGCCCAGAGTTCAGGCCCCACGACCGGACCCAAAAAAAAAAAATTAAAAAAAAAATGTCTTTGAACTCTTGAGTATCCTAGCAGTTATAACCAAGTCTTGAGGTAATGTACGAGAAGGTATAATAGCACTCTGAAATCTTTTAAAGGGCTTTAATTTACTTCTATTTCTGACCAAGTTAAAACAGCACCAGAAAGCCACCCACATCCTTCCGGTAGCCTATTCCTCCATTTTCCCTTTTTTATGTTCCTTTTCCTTTGCCCCCTTTCTCAGGAGACTGAGGAGTAGAGAGGAGGAAAGAGGCAATGGGGGTAGATATTAGGAATGAAAAGAGAATTATTCATTTCTCCCACTCTGGTTGAACAAGTGATAGAATTGTTATCATTGCAAGTAGGACCCAGAACAACCGGGTCTTTCAACTTTGAATTAGGATGCTGGGGTCATGAAATACAGAGCTATGGGATGGGATACAATGGATGAGTTCTGAGAGGAAAGGAGTACCAACACTGGATTCAAAGATACCTGAATTCAAATCCTGACCCTTCTATTTTTTTAATTGTATGCTTGGCTAGGCTGTAAATACTCCCTTCCCACCTTTGTTAATCAGGAATACTCACAATACTTCCTTAAGTTCTGGTCAGAGTATAACTCTGAGAGCCACAGTGTGCTTGTGGGCATTCCTGGTACTTTTCCCTTGTTTTTTTTTTTGTTGTTGTTTGTTGTGGGGCTTGAACTCTGGGCATGGGCACTATCCCTGAGCTCTTTAGCTCAAGGCTAGCACTCTACCACTTGGGCCACAGCACCACTTCTGGTTTTCTGAGTGTTTTATTGGAGATAAGAGTCTTACAGACTTTCCTGCCCTGGCTGGCTTTGAATTGTGATTCTCAAATCTCAGCTTCCTGAGAAGCGAGAATTACCGGCATGAGCCACCAGTGGCCAGCTTGGAGTAAGTCTTTTTGAGAAGGGGGTTTATTGAGGAGAGAAAAGCGAATGAACTAAAATGATGGGGAGGCCCTGAGTTCAGGAAGATTAGGGAGAAGAATACTGCCAGAAGAGAAGAATACTGCCAGAAGAGAATTCCTGAAAATAAAAAAGTTTATTTTAAAGACTTTTTTTTTTTTCTCTTGGTCATGGGGCTTGAACTCTGGGCCTGAGCACTGTCCCTCAGCTCTTCAGCTCAAGGCAAGTATTCTACCACTTGAGCCATAGCACCACTTCTGGTTTTCTAGTGGTTTACTGATGATAGGAGTCTCATGGTCTTTCCTGCCCGGCCTTAAAGAGTATTTTAAAGAAGTTTTGTTAAGTAATACTACCATTCTGTCTGCTCCAAAAAATGTAACCCCCCAAAAAAACAAAACAAAAACTAAAAAACCCAACCCGTCCCACACCTCTATTCTTTTTTTTTTTGTCATGGGGCTTGAACTCAGAGTCCCTGAGCTCTTTTACTCAAGGCTAGCATTCTACCACTTTGAGCCACAGTGCCACTTCATTTTCTAGTGGTCAATTTAGAGTGGTCAATAAGAGTCTCATGGACTTTCCTGCCTGGGCTGGCTTCAAACAAAGATCCTCAGATCTCAACTTCCTCAGTAGTTAGGATTAGAGGCGTGAGCCACTGGTGCCCATCAACCTCTATTCTTTTTTCAACATTTGAAGATGGAATTTTGGTTTTATGAGATTGGTTTCATAGTAAGCACAGGAAGGCAGTAGGAGGCTGAGAGAAGATGATGCATGAAAGCATCTGGTCCCTGGAAAGTAATCAATAAATCTAAGTGTTATTAATTTTGGGTAGTTCAATTAGTCTAAATGCCTTGCACAAAGTCACTGGTTTAATTTTTTTTTTTCCTGTAAACATATTGCCTCTTAAGTTATGCTAATGAAGTTAGTAGGTGACAATTTTAGAGAAGAAACTGTACATTTATAAGGCTGCAGCCAGGCACTGGTGGCTCACGCCTGTAATCCTAGCTATTCAGGAGGCTGAGATCTGAGGATCATGGTTCAAAGCCAGCCTGGGCAGGAAAGTCCGTGAGACTCTTATCTACAATAAACCACTAGAAAACCGGAAGTGGCGCTGTGGCTCAAGTGGTAGAGCGCTTGCCTTGAGCTGAAGAGCTGAGGGACAGTGCCCAAGCTCAGAGTTCAAGCCCCACGACCGACCAAAAAAAAAAAAAAAGGCTGTATATATTCTCACTTTTATTTTAGGAAAACATATACAATGAATGAATACAGCCACCACGGTGGCTGTTGTATTCACTGCTAATCGCAGTTTGCTCTGGTATGCAGCTGGTCAGGCTGGTCCTTTGACTTCCTATCTCTAGGATTCATCAGCTGGATCTTTCCTGTTTTTTTAAAAACTGTATCTGTAGCTTTGTCTGGGAGTTGCTACTCTGCTGCATTGTATGGCAGCTACTTGCCTCTATAATTTTGTTCCCTTTTAATACAATGTGTCGTCAAGTGTAATGCATAGGATATAAGCCTCAATTATTGTCAGTGTTCTTGGGGACCCATACCAATTACGGTGATATTTCTCTGACAAGCCCCAGGCAAGTTGCAGCTTGGATTTCCTCAACACTGAGAAACAAAGATATTTTCTTTATGGGAGGTCTTCTAAAGCATTTGGAATTCTTTAGTTTAAAAATGTCCTTTTTTCATTTAGATGTGGTAATTTTTGTGTTTTACATGAAGACTATTTAATCTGTACTTCTATAATTTAATATACTTCAGAACATACTAATTATAGTGAACCTTGTTTCCTTACAAGTTGGCTAGGTGGAAGAAATGTTTCACGGCAGACTTACCCAGCAAAAACACAAGCCTTTGTTACCTTCTCTGGCTCTCTACTTAGTTCTCTTCATTATAGATCTCCTCCCCTTTCCTTACCTTCTGCAATTATTTCCTTTTTGTCATATCTCTATATCTCCTTTCATTGTCTTATGGGAGAAAAGTCAAAATGGTTTTACTCTTTGAAACTTTCTACAAATATAAGAAAAAGAACCCCTGTCTGACCTAATTTCCACCGATTTTTTTTTTTTGCCTTGTAACTCTAGAGTGACAGTTTTGGCCTCTTCAATATTCCCTCCCCACACCTGAAGAAAGAACATTGCTCTTTAGCTTGTAATGTTTTATTTGAATGCAACCCACTTCCTCCCTCTGAGCCAATGAGTCATTTTCTCTTTTTAAAGCAAGGCTTAAAAATCTTCCATTTCTTTTCAGTTTAAAATTATTCGTTGTGAAGTACTTCGTGTCCTGTCTATGAAAGACAGCCCATAAGATAGAAAACTGCCTTAAGTACTCAAGGACTACACTAGAGATCATATGTGACATACTAAGACTTTGAATATTAAGTTCAATGGTTAAATGGATACCATTTGTATTTCTTCCTTTTGAAGCAAGATTTTTTTGTCTCTTTTTCATTAGTAAATTCTCAAAATCTTATTACATAGTAGGTTTTCATGAAATACTTGGTGAATTAATGATGACTGAATTTCTACTCACTCTCTCTTTTTTTGAATGGATATTGAACCTACAGCCTCAAACATACTAAGCACATACCTTAACACTGAGCTATACTCTCAGTCCCCCTACTCAATGTTTCTAACTGCTTAATGCCAATTATGTAGTTAGAATTTTCCACATTGGAATCTCTGGTAATTGTATAGAAAATACTCATAAAAGGTAGCACAAAATGAGTAATATCATACTGTAGAAGATGTAGAAATACCATTAGGACAAATCTAGGAAAAGCCTAAAAAGACATATTTAATTCGCACAATTTATAGACTTTCCACTAGTGTACCAAATATCTTCTAGCAAATATGTCTATATTGTTTATCTGCCACTATACTCTACTTCCTTTTTTTGTTGTTGCTGTTGGTCATGGGGGTTGAAATCAGTCAGGGCCTGGGTGCTGTACTCAGGGCTTGGGTGCTGTCCCTGAGCTCTTTTTGCTCAAGGCTAGCATTCTACCCTTTGAGCCATAGTTCCACTTCCGGTTTTCTGGTGATAATTGGAGATGAGTTTCATGGGTTTTCCTTCCTAGGCTGGCTTTGAACTGTGATCCTCACATCTTAGCCTTTTTTTTTTTTTTTTTTTTTAAGCTTGTGGGGCTTTAACTCTGGGGACCTAGGGACTGTCCCTCAGCTCTTCAGCTCAAGGTTAGGGCTCTACCACTTGAGCCACAGCGCCATTTTTGTTTTCCAGTGGTTAATTGGAGGTAAGAGTCTCATGGACTTTCCTGCCTGGGCTGGCTTTGAACTGCAATCCTCAGATCTCAGCCTCCTGAGTAGCTAGGATTACAGGCATGAGCCATTGGCATCCGCCAATCTTTGCCTTTTGAGTAGCTAGGCGTTACAGGTTAAGCCACAGCAAGTACCTGGCTTGCTTGGCTTTTTTTTTGCTCAGGGTTGGTGCTCTAAACACTTGAGCCAGGCTTCCACTTCCAGCTTTTAACTGGTTAATCGGAGATAAGAGTCTAAAGATTTGTCTACCTGGTGCTGGCTCTGAACCCCAACCACCAGATTTCAGCTGCCTAAGTAGCTAGGATTAATGATATGACTCACAGAGCCAGGCTAATGTGAGATATGCTGAAGTATTAAGTGCAGTGTCTGTAATCTTACTTAGAAAGATGAGATTAGGAGAATTGTGGCTTGAAACCAGCACTGGCAATAAATAAATAAAAAAATAAAAATTACAAGACCTCTTTCTCAACTTAGAGCTGGGTACAATAGGCCATGCCTGTTATCCAGCTATGATGGGAAGCCTAAAATAGATAGATCATGATCCACACATGTGACTCAGCAGGAAGTAAGATCCTTGACAGGCCTGGAGGCATGTTTCAATTGTATAGCATCTGCCCAGCAAGTGCACAAGACCCTAAGTCCAAACCCAAGTGCTGTCAAAAAAGAAAGAAAAACACCTCTTAAATGGTTTATATAAAGTACAATGTAGACAGGAATATGGCTTTGTGGTAGAGTGCTTGCTTAGCATGCATGAAGCTTTGGGTTTGATTCCTCAGTACCACATAAGCGTGGCTAAAGCAGTAGAGTGCTAGCCTTGAGTAAAAGAAGCTTAGTGACAGTGTCCAGGCCCTGAATTCAAACACCAGGACAGGCAAAAAAATTTACAATATATGTGTGTGTGTATGTGTGTTCATATACACACATATATACATATAAGTAAATGTATGGGCAGATTTTTATGAATATACACACCATATACACATACATGTAAAACAAAAAAGGCAAACTATTAATTGATGAACCTGGATAAATGATAAGTATTTCTTTTTGTGCTTTCAACTTTTCTTCAGTTAAAAAATTGTCTAAGCTGGGGGTGGTGGCTCACGCCTGTAATCCTAACTACTCAGGAGGCTGAGATCTGAGGATTGCAGTTCAAAGCCAGCCTGGCCTGGGCAGGAAAGTCAGTGAGACTGTTATCTCCAATAAACTACCAGAAAATCAGAAGTGGAGCTGTGGCTCAAGTACCAGAGTTGTGGCTCAAGTACTAGAGCACTAGCCTTGAATGGAACAGCTGAGGGACATAGCACCCAGGCCCAGAGTTCAAACCCTGGGACCCACCAAAAATAAAGTTTCCTAAATAGTTTCTTTAAGGGGCTGGCAATGTGGCTTAGTGATAGAGTGCTTGCCTGAAGCATTGAAGCCCTGGGTGTACTCCTCAGTACCACATAAACAGTAAAAGCTGGAAGTAGTGCTGTGGCTCAAGTGGTAGAGTGCTAGCCTTGAGCAAAAATAGCTCAGGGACCATGCCCAGGCTCTGAGTTCAAGCCCCAGGACTGGCAAAAAAAAAAAAAATCTTTAAAAAGTCATTATCGGGACTGGGAAGTTGGCTCAGTGGTAGAGTGCTTGCCTGGCATGCATGAGGCCCTGGGTTTGATTCTTCAGCACCACATAAGCAGAAAAAGCCAGAAGTGGCACTGTGGCTCAAGTGGTAGGGTTCTAGCTTTGAGCTGAAGAGCTGAGGGACAGCACCCAGGCCCAGATTTCAGTCCCCACAACCAACAACAAAACAAAACAAACAAGTCATTATCATACTTATGTAACTGTAACTCCTCTATACATCACCTTAACAATAGAAAAAAAAGTCATTGTTGCCAGGGCACTAGTGGCTCACACTTAAAATCCTAGCTACTTAGGAGTCTGAGATCTCAAGATAGTGGTTCAAAGCTAGCCAGGGCAGGAAAGTCCATGAAACTCTTATCTCCAATTAACCACCAGAAAACCAGAAGTGGAGCTGTGGCTTAAAGTGGTAGAATGCTTGCCTTGAGCTGAAGAGATTAGGGATAGCACCTAGGCCCAGAGTTCAAGCCCCACGACTGACCAAAAAAAAAAAAAAAAAAAGCCTAGTGTACATTGAAATTCTGTAGGATATCAAGTAGTAGACTTTCTCTAAACCTCTTTTAAGTGTATCTAATGTATATCCTGTGGAAAACCTGAACTTTGGGTTTAAGGCTAGCAGTGTATCATTGTGATACATATGTGTATGGAATATGTTTCAATTTCTCTAGGACCTATTCTTTTACTTTATGATCTCTATATATTTAAACCAAAATGAAGCCCCCAATACTAGTGGAAATGGTAAACTATTGCTTTTGCTTATAAGGAACTACAGAAAAGTGAATTCTGGATAGAATTTGCAATCATGAAATACGCACTGTGAAATAAAGAGCTCTGTGCCCACAATAAGGTTAGTTTTTATTATTACTATAATTATTTGATATAGGGTCTTACTCAAACTTTTTTTTTTTTTGGTCAGTTGTGGGGCTTGAACTCTGGGCCTGGGCACTGTCCCTCAGCTCTTCATCTCAAGGCATGTGGGCTACCACTTGAGCCACAGTGTCACTTCCTGTTTTCTGAGTAGTTTATTGGAGATAAGAGTCTTACAGACTTTCCTGCCCATCTGGCTTTGAACTGTGATCCTCAAATCTCAGCCTCCTGAGTAGCTAGGATTACAGGCGTGAGCCACTGATACCCGGTTTAGCCTCAAACTCTTGATTCTCCTTCCTCTACCCTACCAAGCACTAGTATTACAAGTGAGCACCACCATGCCTGGGTAAGGCTGATTATTTTGAAATTATTTTATTCTATAGTCTAATCCTCTTGATATTAGCTTCTGTAAAATACAGAAACAGAATACTAGGACTTACGTCATAGTTGCTCCTGGATCAGCAGTCATTTGATTGGTCACGAAAACAGCCACGTTATATTCTGCACCAAGAAATAAAATTAACAAGATGAGGGGACAATAAAATATAAAAGTTCAATGTTTAGATTTCAGAATTTAGTTTTCTCTTTTTTCTTTTTTTTGTCAGTGGTGGGGCTTGAACTCTGGGCCTGGGTGTTGTCCCTCAACTCTTCAGCTCAAGGCCAGCACTCTACCACTTGAGCCACAGCACCACTTCCAGTTTTCTGGTGGTTTATTAGAGATAAGAGTCTCACACACTTTCTTGCCTGGGCTGGCTTTGAAGCACAATCCTGAGATCTCAGCCTCCTGAGTAGCTAGGATTACAGGCGTGAGCCACCAGTGCCCTGACTGAATGTAGTTTTCCATATACTAATTGTTAGAACAGAAAAATGGACAGGCTAAATGTTCACTGAAGAAAAATTCATAAACTTGTATCATTTATCATGATGTGAATCTTTATATTAAAACTTAAAAAATCTGTTTAGAAATATTGCATCTGAAGGCTGGGAATGTGGTTTAGTGGCAGAGTGCTTGCCTAGCATGCATGAAGCCCTGGGGTTTGATTCCTCAGTACCACATAAACAGAAAAAGCCCAAAGTGATGATGTGGCTCAAGTGATAGAGCACTAGTCTTGAGCACAGAGAGGCTCATGGACAGTGCCTGGGCCCTGAATTGAAGCCTCAGAACTGGCAAAAAGAAAAAAAATATTGCATCATTAATTTATGTTGTTTTGTTTTGGGGTCCAGTTGTGGGGCCTGAACTCGGCCTGGGCGCTGTCCCTAAGCTCTTCAGCTCAAGGCTAGCGCTCTACCCCTTGAGCCACAGCTCCACTTCTGGCTTTTTTCTTTTTGCTTATGTGGTGCTGAGGAATCGAACCCAGGGCCTCAGGCATGCAAGGCAAGCACTCTACCACTGAGCCACCTTCCCAGCCCCATGTATCATGAATTTATTAACATGATCAAATTTCTATTTTGCATTGAGAACAGAAATTAATTTATTTAAACTTACTATTTACATCAAAATCAGTATTTTTAGTTAGGTTATATTCCCAAATACCTTCTGACATTATTCTGAGCAAATGTGCAAAGCACACTTAGCAAACAGTCATAGATACTATTCTGATAGTGCTATTTTATTTGAAAGATCTACCTTCTGAGATTTTTTGGAGACGTGACAACATCTGGGCCAATTTTTGCTGCCGTTCAGCCAACTCCCCACGACCACTGAAATCCACTCGAAAAAGTGCCATTATTGAATCAATGATCTGCACAGGATCAATATAAAAAACAAATATGTGCTTGGAAATGGAAGGCAGAGGTCCATTTAAAAAGAATCAATAGAAAAAATATGCCCTGGGAGTAAGCAGTATCAAAAACTCGCACCAATAGCTTGAAGATGCCAGCTTCTTCATGGAACTTTGCTGCTACATAATCAAGTAGCTCCATCTGATGTTCACCTAGTGGGAAATGCAGTGAGATATTATAAAAGCCAGAAGCAGTACTTCTTAGCATATATGGCAAATATATGCTATTCAAAAGGGTAGCTTAGAGGGCTAGAGGTATAGTTCAGTGGTAGAACACATAACTAGTCTGTATGAGGACCTAGGTTCAATTCTCAATACCACAGAAAAGAAAAACAGTGTTATTCTAAATTTCAAAGACATAGGATAAAAAAATAATTTGAAAGCATTTCAGTACCTAAGGACTTAACAGATGACAAAATATGTGGAGGAAAGTAAAATAAAATAAGGGAAAGCCCTTCAAAAAAAGTTAAAACAAAACAAACAACCCCTCCCTTGTTTTATCAAATAGTAATTATGCTGTCAATCTTACAATCACCCAAGCATCCAATTGCATGGGACTCTTACTAGTGTATGCACGTGCATAAAGTACATTGTCCAGTACTGCATCGTGGTCTACATTGAATCGGTCAGCAATGTCCCGAAGGCGATCTGGACGGCTGAAGTGTGCCAAGATTAAGGATTCAATAAATCAATTCTAAAATCATTTCAACAACTACGATTACTTCTTAAGTAAAGTAACAAAGAGGCAAAGAGGTATTCTGGAAGGTGCTAATAATCACTCTGTCTGTACCAGATTTAAATTTATTCAGTGTGTGTGTACCAGTCCTAGGGCTTGAACTCAAGGCACTATTAGCATTTTTACTCAAAGCAGGCACCCTACCACTTGAGCCACAGCTCTTACTTCCAGCTTTCTAGTGGCTCATTGTAGAATTGTTTCTGGTGGTTCATAGTCTCGTGGACTCATAACTTTCCTATCCAAGCTGGCTTTGAAACACAATCCTCATGGGCTGCGAAGATGGCTCAGTGGTTGAGCACTTGCCTTGCATGCCTGAGGCCCTGGGTTTGATTCCTCAGCACCACATAAGCAAAATGAAAAAAAAAAAAGCCGGAAGTGGCGCTGTGGCTCAAGTGGTAGAGCGCTAGCCTTGAGCTGAAGAACTGAGGGACAGCGCCCAGGTCCAGAGTTCAGGCCCCATGACTGGACCCAAAAAAAAAAAAAAAAAGAAACATAATCCTCAGATCTCAGCTTCCTGAGTATCTAGAATTACAGGTATGAGGCCCCTGGCCAGACTTTAGTTTTTCTAAGTGCTTCTAATTTATATTAATGGATATAGAAATGAAGAAAACCGGGTTGGGAAGGTAGCTCAGTGGTATAGTGCTTGCCTTGCATGCATGAGGCCCTGGGTTCGATTCTTCAGCACCACATAAGCAGAAAATGCTGGAAGTGATGCTGAGGCTCAAGCAGTAGAGCACTAGCCTTGAGCTGAAGAGCTGTGGGACAGTGCCCAGGCCCAGAGTTCAGGCCCCATGACTGACCAAAAAAAAAAAGGTGAGAAAATGGTAACCCCTTCTGTAATTACTTATGCTTAATAAAAATACAATTTTAAAAACAGTGAAGTAATGATTAATCAAATCTATAAAATAAATTGAAGGCTAGATGCTATGGCCTGTATTTTATTTTTTACAAATCAGGACACTGACAGGTTAGACAAATGACTCAGGATTATACAGCAAAGGATTTGAAATAGAAAAACTAGAAACTAAGGTTTGTCTCTTTTGTTCTCAGTTCTATAAAAATAGATCTATCTTAGAACAGTAATATCATGGAATTATAATGAGTCACTGCAAAATGAATTGATTCTAAATAATCAGCTGTTTAAAATGAAATAATAAACCAGTAATCATGGTTGCAAACATGATAAATTTGACTACATGAAGAGTAAAAAAGGTAATCTCATGTGTCCAGAAGGAAATGATCATCTCAGTTGTCTTCTAGAGCAGTTGTTAACTTTCTGAAATTAGTAAATTCATATGAAATCAAATTCAGTAAATATGCAAAAGTGATTTGGAAGATGTCACTAATTGCCAAAATCTATGAACTATGAAGAGGTAATGAAAATTATTCTTGGGCCTTTGATGATCCTAACTATGTATAAAATATACATATTTTGAGGTTAACTGCATGTCTATGATCTCATCATACTTTTTTTTTTTCAGGTAAGGGGTAGGTTTATTCATCGTTCCGGCTGGCACCAGGCCATCTTGGTCCTCCACACGGTGGGGAAAGAACTGGGAAAGAGAGCTGGGAGAGAGAGAAAGAAAGCTGCAAAAGAGCTAAGAAGGAAAGAGCTGAGAGAGAGCTAGAAAAGAGCAGAGAGAGAGCGTCTGGGCCTGGGCTAGGCCTTATCTAGGGTATGGGCAGAGAAAGGTGTGGCCACATCAAATTTAGATGTGACTTCAGCGGATGCAGACCATCATACTTTTATTTATATAATACTAACTATAAGTTATTGTAAAGCAAGGGATGGTATCTATCTGAATGAAATTTGAACTCAGAATCTCAGGCTTGCTAAGCAGACACTCTGCCACTTGAGCTTTTCCTTCAACACTTTTTTTCTTCAGTGCAGGGGATCAAACTTAGGGTCTTATACATGATGGGCAAGTGATTTCACTGAGCTACATGCTTAGCCATTGTATTATCTGTGATACATATAACTAGCTCAATATTGAAGTGTCTTTAGGATTTCTCAACCATGTATATCCTAATGTACTATATAAACACAACTGTTTGTACTATGTTATGTTTGTGTATCTATGAGCAAAATATCTGAGGGAATAACTTAAAGTTGGAAGAACTTAGATTGGCTCCCATTTTCAGAGTTTAGTCTGCCTGGGCAAAATCATGGTAGGAATGCTGGGCAGAGCACTCCTGTGGCCTAACCAAAACAGGAAGCAGAGAGGGGAAGGGATGCAGACTAGGTTTATTAAAGGCACTCCCTGAAAAGAGCCACAAGCTGGGGACCAGGTGTTCAATATGTAAACCAAATTCTTCCATTGATATTGAGTATAGATCTTTTTGAGGGACAAGTCAAAGAAAATAGAAACTGACGAGACAAAATACTATTTTTCAAGCTGGGTGCCAATGGCACATGCCTGTAATTATTATTAATCAGGTGGCTGAGATCTGAGGATCTCAGTTCAAACCCAGCCCAGGCAAGAAAGTCCCTGAAGTTCTTTTTTTTTTTTTTTTGGGTCTGGTCGTGAGGCCTGAACTCTGGGCCTGGGCACTGTCCCTCAGCTCTTCAGCTCAAGGCTAGCGCTCTACAACTTGAGCCACAGCACCACTTCCAGCTTTTTTCTTTTTGCTTATGTGGTGCTGAGGAATCGAACCCAGGGCCTCATGCTTGCAAGGCAAGCGCTCTACCACTGAGCCACCTTCCCAGCCCGTCCCTGAAGTTCTTATGGCCATTTAATCACTAAAAAGGAAGTGGGGCTGTGGCTCAAATGGTAAACATTAGCTTTGAGCAAAAGCAGCTTAGGGACAACACCCCCAGGCCAACCCCTGAAGCCCATTTTTTTTTTTTCAGTCCTGAGGCATGAACTTGAGGCCTGAGTGCCATCCCAGAACTTTTGCACTCAAGGCTAGCACTCTACTACTTTGAGTCACAGCTCCACTTCCAGCTTTAAGATAGGGACACAACACTTCAGCTGTGTGAGAAGTATAGATAGGGTTGTCTGGGTGTGGCCCACGGGAAAGTCTAGAGGCACCTGATAGAACAGCTAACCTACCCATGCACAAGACCTGAATTTTTTTTTTTAATTACTGTGACAAACACCCTGAAATAGAATGATTTTTAGTAAGAACTTGGAAGGTGACTAGGAAGGGGGGACAGATGGGGGAGGTTTAGATGGGTGGGTGAACATGGTAAATGCATGCTCTGCTCTGTTTGTCTATGGAAATGCCACTGTGCATCTCATTATTTTGTCCAATTTTGTTTGAATAAAACTGAAATTAAAAAAAAAAAAGATAGGGACACAGGGCTGGGTACCGGTGGCTCATGCCTGTAATCCTAGCTACTCAGGCAGCTGAGATCTGAGAATCATGGTTCAAAGGCAGCCCAGGCAGGAAAGTCCATGAGCCTCGTATCTCTAATAAACCATCAGAAAACCAGAAGTGGCACTATGGCTCAAGTGATAGAGTACTTGCCTTGAGCAGAAGAGCTGAGGGACAGCACCCAGGCTCAGAGTGAAGCCCCACCACACACACACACACACACACACACACACACACACACACACACACACAAAAGGTAAGGACAGAGGGAGCCAATACAATACCATGACTAGCCAAATTAACATTCAAGTGAGAGCATAATCAGCACATTTTCAAACATACCAGGATTCAGAGTTTACCACTTGGATTACATTTATGAAACAAGTAATTATAAACTGCAGCCAAAAAAGGGGAAGAATGTTTGGGGATGAGGAAAATTAGAGTTTAATTAAGCAACTTGTCTATCTATTAATGATAGACCCAAGACTGGAGACAGACATTTGAATTCAGAACCTTCTTTTGAACTACTGTGCCATGTTAATTCTACTTGTTAAAAAGGAACTTTTTACTCTTATTTATTTTGTTGGTCAGTGGGACTTGAACTCAGGGACTAGGTGCTTGTCCCTAAGCCTCTTTGTGCTCAAGGCTAGCACCTCTACCACTTGAGCCATGGCACCACTTACAGCTTTTGAGTGGTAATTGGAGAAAAGAGTCTCATGGGGCTGGGTGCCGGTGGCTCTCAACTATAATCCTAGCTACTCAGGAGGCTGAGATCTGAGAATAACAGCTGAAAGCCAGCCCTGACAGGAAAGTCTGTGAGACTCTTATCTTCAAGTGGTAGAGCCTTGGGCTGAAGAGCTGAGGGACAGTGCCCAAGTCAAGTTCAAGCCCCACAACCGACAAAAAAAAATTGTACTAACATTAGCGTATCACACTATGTTAACATTTCATTTTAAAAAGGTTACAAAGTATTTTCTGTATCAATGAAGATAATCTTTCCTCCAGAGTAGCCACCTGCTCCTGGAAGTTGAGCTGTCACTAGGGAACAATTAAAGAATTAATATTAGTGAATAAACTTCACACAAATGACTACATAAATATGAAATTTATGCTTGTTAAAACTCTTTAGTAAACAGCAAAGAATAATCATCATTTAGTTTCTAAACAACAACATGCCACATTTTCTTTTTTTTCCTTTTTTTTTTGGGGGGGGGGGTCCAGTCGTGGGGCCTGAACTCTGGGCCTGGGCGCTGTCCTTCAGCTCTTCAGCTCAAGGCTAGCACTCTACCACTTGAGCTACAGCGCCACTTCCGGCTTTTTTCTTTTTGCATATGTGGTGCTGAGGAATCGAACCCAGAGCCTCATGCATACAAGGCAAGCACTCTACCACTGAGCCACCTTCCCAGCCCCAACATGCCACATTTTTATCTGACAAGTGAGTGGTGAAATAGTATTCTGCCCGGATAGTTTTTTTTTTTTTGTGCTAGTCCTAGGGCTTGAACTCTGGGCCTGGGTACTATCCTGAGCATTTTTGCTCAAGGCTAGTGCTCTATCACTTGAGCCACAGTTTTGGTGGTTAATTGGAGATAAGAGTTTCATGAACTTTCCTGCCCAGGTTGGCCTCAATCTGCCATCCTCAGACCTCAGCCTCCTAAGTAGCTAGGATTATAGGTGTGAACCACCTATAATCTGGCTGGTTTAAAACGCATTTACTTGCCGTGGCTGGTGGCTGGTGGTTCATGACTATAATCCTAGCTACTCAGGAGGCTGAGATCTAAGGATTATGGTTCAAAGCCACCCCAGGCAGGAAAGTCCTTGAGGATCTCATTTACAATTAACCACCAGAAAACCACAAGTGGTGCTATGGCTCAAGTGGTGGGAGCACTCATCTTGAACTGAAGAGCTCAGGGACGGTGCCTAGGCCCCACCACTTGTGTAGGGAGCGGGAAGGGGGGAGAGGGGGAGCATGTACTTTTACGTGGCAGTAGTTAACACTAAGGAGGTACATACATTATTTCATTTACTTTTTAAAACAATCTCAAGAGTTGTCAGTATTATTATTTCTATGTTACTGATAACAATTTGTCCAAAGTCATATAGCTGTTAATGAGAGTGCCAATGGTGACTCAGATATTTTGATTCCAAAACCCCTTTCAAACCATTAAAAAAATTTTATTTTTGTCATTTGTGGGGCTTGAAATCAGACTCTGGGTGCTGTCCCTGAGCTCTTTTTGCTCAAGGACACATAACTACTTCTGTTTTTTTGGTGACTAATTGAAAGTAAGAGTCTATGGACTCTCCTACCCAGCTGCCTGTGAACCATGCTCCTCAAATCTCAGCCTCCTGAGTAGCAAGTATTGCAGGCCTGAGCCACCAGCGCCTGGCCCCTTTAAACCATTTTGCTGTGTTCCTTCTACTTAGATAAAAGAAATACAAAGTAGTGCCTTTGTGAAAAAGGAGATCTTTGCTCATTTTGCTTTGGAAAAAAGTTTATTTTGAAGTCTTCTCTTAGGCCAATCTTTACACCTCAACAGATTTTATTTCATTCTTATAAAAAAAAAGATACAAAAAGATGGAATGGGAAAAATTGGATGCCTTTCTCACCAGTGTACTCATGATCTACTTCCATATTTCCAGTCAGGTGTTCATAATGCAGCACATACAATCACACCTCAAATAGCACATATTCAGAAACCAACTCTGCTATCAGTACAACTCTGGGCAGTTTACTTACTTACTCTCTCTGATCTTTAGTTTCCTAAAAAAACTTGTTCAAAATACATCAGACTACGTAAAGTGTTAAGCATATAGCAATGTTGAGTAAGTGAAAGCCTGACCAGGACTGTTATATTGTTGTCATGTGTCCTTACCACAGAGGGTATGAGACAGCTGTGTTTTTCCAGTACGAAATTCTGTAAAATACAAAAAAAGGAATAAAAATATGTATACAGTTTTTACTTCCTTTAACAAAAATGGACTTAGAATTACTGCTTGCTTTTCCAATAGTCAACTCTCACTCCTAAAGAACCTCTCATGGGAGCTGGGAAGTTGGCTCAGTGGTAGAGCACTTGCCTTGCATGCATGAGGTCCTGGGTTCGATTCCTCAGTACCACATAAGCAAAAAGAAAAAAGCCCGAAGTGGTGCTGTGGCTCAAATGGTAGAGCGCTAGCCTTGAGCTGAAGAACTGAGGGACAGTACCCTGGCCCAGAGTACAGGCCTCACGACTGGGACCCCCCCCCCCAAAAAAAAAAAAGAACCTCTCATATCACATATGGACTCTGCATAAAAAAAAACCAAAACAACTTGATTCTTTTTGACAAAACTGTCTTTTTAAATGAAGGTTAAAACATTTTTTCCATAGAAAAGCTCACATAAATTAAACTTTAGGATATTTATCACAGGAAGAACAGCCTGGAGCTCTCTCAATGACCTGGAATTCTTTTTTTTTTTTTTTTTCTTTCAGTTGTGGGGCTTGAACTCATAGCCTGGGAGCTGTCCCTGAGTTGTTCTGCTCAGGGCTACTGTTCTACCACTTTAAGCTTTAGCTTAAAGTTTTTGTGTTTAGTTGGAAATAAAAGTCTCATAAGACTTTTCTGCCCAGGCTGGCTTTGAATCACAATCCTCAGTTTTCAGCCTCCTGAGTAGCTAAGATTACAGGTGTGACCCACCAGTGTCTGGCTAACTTGTAATTTGTTTTTTTTTTTTTTTTAATTTTGATAATCCAGGGGCTTGAACTCTGGGCCTGGGCACTGTCCCTGAGGTTCTTTTGCTCAAGGCTAGCACTCTACCTCTTGAGCCCCTCTGCCACTTTTGGCTTTTTCTGTGTATGTGGTACTGAGGAATCAAACCCAGGTTGCATGCATGTTAGGCAAGCATTCTACACTAAGCCAGATTCCCAGCCCTGACCTGGAATTCTTTTTTTGTTGTTGTTGTTGGTTATGGGGCTTGAACTCTGGTCCTGGGTGTTGTCCCTGAGCTCTTCAGCTCAAGGCAAGCTCTCTAACACTTGAGCCACAACAGTGCCACTTCTGGTTTTCATGTGACTAATTGGAGTTAAGAGTCTTTTGGACTTTCCTGCCCAGGCTTGCTTTGAACCATGATTCTCAGATCTCAGCCTCCTAAGTAGCTAGGATTACAGGTGTGAGCCACTGGCGCCCTGCTGACCTAGAATTCTTTTTTTTTTTTTAACCTACAATTCTTTTTTTTTTTTTTTTTTGGGTCCGGTCGTGGGGCCTGAACTCTGGGCCTGGGCGCTGTCCCTCAGCTCTTCAGCTCAAGGCTAGCGCTCTACCACTTGAGCCACAGCGCCACTTCTGGCTTTTTTTGTTTTGCTTATGTGGTGCTGAGGAATCGAACCCAGGGCCTCAGGCATGCAAGGCAAGTGCTTTAACCACTGAGCCACCTTCTCAGCCCCTAACCTACAATTCTTAAGGGAAGATAATCTCAAATTGGTTATCAACAGAAGCAAATTCTCTTCATAGTAAAACTGCCCTCATCCATAAAGTTAGGTCCATTAAACCCCTATAGATTAGAAACCTCCAAAGAGTAAATATGCAAGAAAAAAAGCTATTAGAGTAAGTCAACAGAAATGATAAAAAGATTCATTTCCCCAAGTCAACAGAATCAATAAAAAAAATTAGTTCCCTAAAGACTGCAAATACTAAGTGGGCACTGGTGGGTCACACCTATAATCCTAGCCACTCAGGAAACTGAGACCTGAAGATTGTGGTTCAAAGCCAGCCCAGGCAGAAAAGTCTGTCAGACTCTTATCTCCAATAAACCACTCAGAAAAGGCCAGAAGTGGTGCTGTGACTCAAGTGATTCAAGGCCAGCCTTGAGCACAAAGAGGCTCAGGGACTGTGCACAGACCCAGAGTTCAAGCCCCAGGGCCAGAAAAACAAAAGAAAACCAAACCAAAGTAAGCAAATACTGAATTATCAAAGGCAACATCTAATCCAACTATGCAGAAATTAAAAAAAAATATATGATATAACCAGGAAAGAGAAAATCTAATCTCTATGCTAATGGAGTATGCATTGCCTAGATATATGAACAACCTCATTATTTTATTACCTTCTGAAGGAATAAAGTATTATTTTTTCCCTTCTGTACTAACCAGAGATAAGAGGATGAAAAGTATAATAAGAACTACTGGTTAATATACATTCTCACTTATGTTCAGAATAATCCTATATTCTAATAACAGTTTTTATCCTGTGTTCCAAAACAGGAACTCGTTTGTTTACTATTATTATTTAATTATAACTGTATAACTTCCTAGGAAAAAATTAAGGTTCTACCTACCTCCAAAGGCTTCTGTTATTGCCATGCTTTCAATTCCACCTCCAAGCAACTTACTGGAAATAAAAATAAAGCATTAGCAACAGGGACAGTTATACCAAGAAAGAAGAATTTCTGTAAGTAACCTAGCATCAATCTATCTGTGTAATTCTTACCTGGACAAATAACACTTGTTCAGATCACAGGTTCTACTCTGAATGGGCAGCTAGGTAAAGAAAGCAACAAAACCCAGCTCTTCTTCTGGATACTTATAACAGATCAGTTAATAAGGTCTTAGGTACTCTATTTTTTTGAATCGAATCAGAATATATGATCTTGGGATTTTTGTTATTGTTCTTGTGGTGGTTGAGGATTAAACCTAGGGCCATGTGCATGGTAGGAAAGCACTCTACCACTGAGTTATATCTCCATTTCAGTTGTCATAATTATTAATTAGGTTTTTCAAATTCTGCAGAGACAATGTTTCTTTTTTTGTTGGTCATGGGGCTTGAATTTAGGGCCTGATCACTGTTCCTGAGCTCTTTTGCTCAAAGTTAGTACTGTACCACTTTGCACCACAGTGCCACTTCTGGTTTTCTGGTGGTTTATTGGAGCTAAGAGTTTCATGAACTTTCCTGGCTTTGAGCTGAGATCCTCAGATAAACTCCCGCATAGCTAGGATTACAGGCATGAGCCACCAGCACCTGGCACAATGTTTCAAAAAATCAATTTACTATTAATTTTTTAATATGCTGAGGAGGATATGAAAAACAAATACTAGATGTTGGCTGGGATGTGGGGAAAAAGGAATCCTATTGCACTGCTGGTGGGAATATGAACGGTGGTTTGGAGGTTCCTCAAAAAACTAAAAATAGGCAGGTGCCGATGGCTCACGCCTGTAATCCTAGCTACTAAGGAGGCTGAGATCTGAGGATCACAGTCCAAAGCCAGCCTGGGCAGGAAAGTCTGTGAGACTCTTATCTCCATAGACCACCAGAAAACAATAAGTGGCCCTGTGGCTCAAGTGGTAGAGCACTAGCCTTGAACTGAAGAGCTGAGGGACAGCACCCAGGCCCCAGGACCAACAGAAACAAACCAAACAACAATAAAAAAACTAAACATAGAACTTTATATGACCCAGCCATACCACTCTAGGGCATGTACCCAGAACATTACATGCCAGGATATGGTAAAGACACTTGCATATTCATGTTTATTGCTGCACTATTCACAATTACCAAGTTATATAAATAGCCCACACATCCTACAATAGATGAATAGATTAATTAAAAGTGCTACATATATACAAAGGGATTTTACTAACCCATTAGAAGGAGGCTGAGATCTGAGAGGATCATGGTTTTCTAGAAGCCAGTCCATGCAAGAAAATCCATGAGACTAATCCCCAATAAATGGCTCAGAAAAAGACAGAAGTAGTGTTGTGGCTCAAGTGGTAGAGCATTGGCTGTGAACACAAAGAGGCTCAGAGACAATGCCTAGGCCATGAGTTTAAGCCCCAAGACTGGCAGAAAAAAACAAAAAAGCATAAGGTTATGTCATTTGTAGGTAAATGTTTGGACCTAGAACAAATCACATTAAGTGAGGTAAGCCAAGCTCAGAGAGACAAACAGGGCTCACACCTGTAATTCATCAGGAGGCTAAGATCTATCGTGCAGTTTGAAGCTAGCTGGGGCAGAAAAATCCCCTTAAGATTCTTATCTCGAGGCTGGGAAAGTGGCTTAGTGGTAGAGTGCTTGTCTTGCATGCATGAGGCCCTGGGTTCAATTCCCCAGCACCACATAATCAAAAAGAAAAAAAGCCGGAAGTGGCGCTGTGGCTCAGGTGGTAGAGCGCTAGTCTTGAGCTGAAGAGCTGAGGGACAGCGCCCAGGCCCAGAGTTCAGGCCCAAGGACCAGACCCCTCCACCCCCCAAAAAAGATTCTTATCTCCAATTAACCACTCAAAGCACTGAAAGTGGCTCTGTGGCTCTAAGTGTTAGAGCACTAGCCTTGAGCAAAAGAGCTCATGGACAGCAGCGTAGGCCCTGAGTTCAAGCCCCATGACCAAAAAAAAAAAAAAAAAAAAAAGTAGAAAGAAAAGAAAATGCTAACAGAAGAATAACAGTATGTATTAAATTGATAACCCATGCTTTTGTGCAATGGATTTTTTTTTTTTTCTGGTACTGGGGTTTGAAATCAGGTCCTTGCATTGGCTAGGCAGGCACTTTACTATTTGAGCCAAACCTGTAGCCCTTTAGTGCAATGGATATTCTTGATATGAAAAGAATTAAATTTAAGTCATAATTTCATTCATCCACTCATTAAATACAATAAACATTGTGTGCTAAGAACTGATAGAAGTATTTAAAAACCTTTTGCAGTTTCAATTTGCATGTCATTTGGAATGTAATCACAAATCAGACAAAACCTTAAGAGAACAAATATTTACCTAATTTAAAAGAATAATTGAAATGTAAATTGAAGCAATTTTGGAAGTTATAAATTTAGAATGGGCTGCGTATTGCAATTTAAAAAAGTCTAGACACTGGGCTGGGAAGGTGGCTCAGTGGTACAGTGCTTGCCTTGCATGCATGAGGCCCTGGGTTCGATTCCTCAGCACCACATAAGCAGAAAAAAAAAGCCGGAAGTGGCACTGTGGCTCAAGTGGTAGAGCGCTAGCCTTGAGCTGAAGAGCTGAGGGACAGTGCCCAGGCCCAGAGTTCAGGCCCCACGACTGGACCACCCCCCCCAAAAAAAAAAAAAAAAAAGTCTAGACACTGACCTGCATAATTTGAATCGAAAGGGCAAGGGTTGAGAATTCAACCCATTTGAAGTACAGGCTTTCAGGGATCTTATGGTGTTGTGGTCTAAATTCAGTGGTCAGTTGGTGCTCTATCACTTGAGCCATACCTCCTGCCTTTCTTTTTGCTGGTTATTTTGGAGATAAGAGTTTAGAAAATTTTTCTGCCCAGGCTGGCCTAGAACTGAGATCTTCAGATCTCAGCCGCCTGAATAGCTAAGTCTCTTCTCTTTCTTCTCTCCTGCCTCTCTCTCCTCCTCCTCTCATCTCTCCTCTCTCTCTCAGTCTCTTTGGTACAGGGGTTTGAACTCAGGGGCTTCGTCATTGGTGGAATAGCACTGTACCATGCCTCCAGTCTCCTTGGATGTCTCTTAAGTCAGGCAACTATTAAAGAAAGTTCTGTTTATCCCTCTTAATCTTGGGAAAAATCACCCTGAAAGCAACAGCTCTAGAAAGTATTAGACAAAATTTCTGGTTACTATGCCCTATCAATGCATTGAAAAGGTTTCCTTAAATTATTCCTAGAGGATACCCCAAATTATTCGGGGAAATATAATCATTTCCTTTGTGAAACCCAAGAAAATTTAGAATTAGATCAAAGGCAATTTAAACATAGAGAAACAAAACCACAGTGTTTTCATAGTAAATTTGGCAATAATCTGTACATACTTGGTGTTTAAAAACTTTTAAAATATAGAGATTTGGTCTTATTAGACTAACAGAATAACCTCTGGAAGACTGAATGATATTGATTACAATTTGTAAGATGACACCAGGTTTATAAACAACATCTGAAAATTTATTTTATTTATGTACTTCTAAGTTCATTGCACTTACAAAACGTATTTAAGAATCTGAGAAGATTCTGCTTGTTAACAAATGATTAAGACTAATGAAATTCTAAATGGAAATTATGAAAGTTGCCAGGACCAAAATGCAGTCACTATGTCATATTCAAACAAGAGTTTATGAGATCACAAGATCAGCTCTTGTGAGTTGAAGAAGTCCATGAAAAAGAAGCCCTTATATATACATGCTTGAAACAAGATTTATCTCAAGATGTTCCTACAGAAAGAATTGTAAAAACTTCCTCAAGAATAGGAGTGCTTATACAAGAAAACATGTCTACGGCTGGGAAAGTGGCTCAGTGGTAGAGTGCTTGCCTTGCATACATGAGGCCCTGGGTTTGATTCCTCAGCACCACATAAGCAAAAAAGAAAAATGCCGGAAGTGGCGCTGTGGCTCAAGTGGTAGAGTGCTTGCCTTGCATACATGAGGCCCTGGGTTCAATTCCTCAGCACCACATAAGCAAAAAAGGAAAAAGCCTGAAGTGGCACTGTGGCTCAAGTGGTAGAGTGCTAGCCTTGAGCTGAAGAGCTGAGGGACTGCGCCCAGGCCCAGAGTTCAGGCCCCACGATCGGACCCAAAAACTAAAAAAAGAAGACATGTCTAGGAATGGCTGTCTTAGTCACTAAACTAACATCAACTCCTTTAAGAGACTCCTGTAACATTTGGTTTTATTTATTTAATTTTATTATTTGTCACCTGGAGCTTGAACTCAGGGTCTGGGCACTGTCCCTGAGCTTCTTTTGCTCAAGGCTAGTACTCTACCACTTTGGGCCACAGCGCTACTTCTGGCTTTTTCTGTTTATATGGTACTAAGGAATCAAATTCAGGGCTTCATGCATGCTAGGCAAGCACTCTACCATGAAGCCACATTCCCAGCCCCAACATTTGTTTTTAAAAGTTTACACAGGTGGGCTGGAAAGGTGGCTCAGTGGTAGAGCGCTTGCCTTGCACGCATGAGGCCTTGAGTTCGATTCCTCAGCACCACATAAGCAGAAAAAAAAAGCCGGAAATGGCGCTGTAGCTCAAGTGGTAGAGTGCTAGCTTTGAGCTGAGGGACAGCGCCCAGGCCCAGAGTTCAGACCCCACAACTGGACCACCCCCCCAAAAAAAAAAACAAAAATCTTTACACAGGCTTTTCCTTTTGTGTGTGCTAGTCCTGGGGCTTGAACTCAGGGCCTGATCACCGTCCCTGAGTTTCTTGCTCAAGACTAGCATTCTACCACTTGAACCACATCTCTACTTCTAGCTCTTTGGTGGTTAATTGGAGAGGAGAGTCTCATGGACTTTGCTGACTAGGCTGGCTAGCTAGAATTGCAGACATAAACCACCAGTGCCTGGCTATGTAGACTTCTCCTATTTAAAAGAACCCCCTCCAACCCTATGGCTGGTTGGCTATGGCCTGCTATAGCTTGTGTACCCTGAACTTCACTACTTTTAAATTGCCAGATACATTCAGTAGCAGGGCACCTGTGACTCATGCCTGTAATCCTAGCTATTCAGGAGGCTGAGTTCTGATGATTAAAGTTCAAGGCCAGCCTGGGCAGAAGAGTCCATGTGACTCTTTTCTCCAGTTAACTACCAGAAAGCTGGAGCTGTGGCTCAAGTAGTAGAGCACCAGCCTTGAGTACAAAAAACTGAGGCCTTGAGTTCAAGCCCCAGTATACGGGGGAGTAGGGGGGGGGGAGGGAGAGGGAAACAAGAAAAAGGTACCAGAGGCATGTCTCAAATATTGGAGCTCCTGCCTAGAAAATGGAAGGCCTTGGGCGTGGGGGGTAGAGAGGGGAAGGGATGGTATGGGGAAACAAAGGAGGAGGCAACAATGCTTGATAAGAGATGTACTCACTATCTTGCCCATGTAATTGTAACCGCTCTGTATTGTATTTTCACACAAAAAAGTGCAAGGCCTGAGTTCAAATCACAGCACTGATCACTGCCTCCCCCACCACCACCAGAAAAAAAGATCTGACATGAGGGACCTACAGCAGGAGCAGATTTGGAGCAGAGATCTGAAACTTGACTTTTGCACTTGTGAAATATCAGTTGCCTATTAGACATCCAAATGGAGCAAGATTTGATTCTAAAATTCCTTTTCTTACAGTATTTTATGGAGCAAGAGTTTTCATGAATATTTTGGAGAGCTATTCTTTTTTTTCTAATTGTTTTTGACTACCACTCTAACTGAAACAGTAACTTTCTTTAGACAGCATAGTAAAACCAAGTCTTCAGTGGAAAAAGAAATGAAAAGTTAACTTGATTTTTTAAAAATGGTTTTCAAGACTAGGAATGTGGCTTAGTGGTAGTGTGCTTGCCTAACATGCATGAAACCCTGGGTTTGATTCCTCAGTACTACATAAACAGAAAAAGCCAGAAGTGGCGCTGTGGCTCAAGTGGTAGAGCGCTAGCCATGAACAAAAGGTCAGGGACAGTCTCCTAGGCACTGAGTTCAAGACCCAAGAATGGCAAAAAAAAAAAAAAAAAAAAAAAAGGATTTGGGGCTGAGACTGTGGCTTAGTGGTAGAGTGCTTGCCTAGCGTGCATAAAGCCTTGGGTTCCATTCCTCAGTACCACAGAAATAGAAAAGGCCAGAAATAGTGCTATGATTCAAGTGGTAGAGTGCAAACCTTGAGCAAAAGAAGCTCAGGAACAGTGCCCAGGCCCTGATTTCAGGCTTCAGGGCTGGCAAATGAATAAATAAATAAATAAATAAAAATTGGTTTGTACCGGGCACCAGTGGCTTATGCCTGCAATCCTAGCTACTCAGGAAACTGAGATATGAGGACTATGGTTTGAAGCTAGCCCAGGCAGGAAAACCCATGTGACTTTTATCTTCAATTAACTGCTAAGCCTGAGGTAGAACTATGGCACAAGTGGTTGAGTACTAGCCTTGAACACAAAAGCTCAATGACAATAACTATCCCCTGAGTTCAAGCCTCAAGACTAGCACTGGAAAAAAAAGTTTACAGATTAAAATAGCTAAATCAGAAACTATTTATATGTTGGGTCTGAATGTCTTGGGAAAAACTGAACTCAGGCTTAAAAGCAGTCTAGAATTTGCACTTTGCCTTTAGGTGGAAAAACAAACCTACAAACTATTTCAAAAGAGATATCTATTTCTGGCAATTATAGTGGACATTTTGGGCAAAACAACGCAAAGAGGAAAAGTTACATGGTATTCAAAGATTGTGCTTAGTGGTTTAAAAAAATGTGAGACACAGAAGAGATAAAAATGGCAAAGAGGGGCTGGGAAGGTGGCTCAGTGGTAGAGCACTTGCCTTGCATGCCTGAGGCCCTAGGGTTCAATTCCTCAGCGCTATATAAGCAAAAAGAAAAAAGCCGGAAGTGGCGCTGTGGCTCAAGTGGTAGAGTGCTAGCCTTGAGCTGAAGAGCTGAGAGACAACACCCAGGCCCAGAGTTCAGGCCCCACGACTGGACCTCCCCCAAAAAATAAATGGCAAAGAAACACATGAGGAAATGTTCACCATCCCTTGTTGTAAAGGAAATGCAAATAAAGACAACCCTGAGATACCACCTTACCCCAGTCAGAATGGCCCACATCCTCAAGTCAGCCAATGACAAATGCTGGAGGGAATGCAGAGAAAGAGGAACCCTATTACACTGTTGGTGGGAATGTACACTTATACAACCACTTTGGAAAGCAGTCTGGAGGTCCTCAGAAAGCTAAATATTGACCTCCCCTATGACCCAGCCATACCATTCCTAGGCATCTATCCTGAACAATAGGAACCAGGACACATACACCTCCTTGTTTATTGCAACACTGTTCACAATAGCCAGGATATGGAAACAATCCAGATGCCCCACCACAGATGAATGGATCCAAAAATTGTGGGATCTATACACAATGGAATATTATGCAGCCATTAGAAAGGACAAAACAAGCCGGGCCCCGGTGCTCAAGCCTATAATCCTAGCTACTCAGGCGGCTGAGATCTGAGGTTCATGATTCAAAAGCCACCCTAGGCAGGAAAGTCTGTGAGACTCTTATCTCCAATTAACCACTAGAAAACCAGAATTGGTACTGTGGCTCAAGCAGTAGAGCTGAAGGGATAGCACCTTGAGCTGAAGAGCTGAGGGATAGCACCCAAGCCCAGAGTTCAAGCCCCACGACTGACCAAAAAGAAAAGAAAGGACAAAATAATGGCATTTGCAGGGAAATGGATGGAACTAGAAGAAATCATGTTGAGTGAGGTAAGCCAAGAGCTAAGAGCCAAATGACACATGGTCTCCCTGATAAGTGGATGTTAAATCCATAATGTAAGGTGATATGACAAAGTTAACAAGACTTGAGAAACAAAGGACCTCCACTCATCTGGTTGAATCACTACTAAATAACCCTATGCTGCTGATCACATATACGGTACATATGTGCACATCAGAGTAAAAGTAGGAGTAAAAGTAGGAGGAGGACACAGAACTAGAGGGAATCAGGGAAAAACATACAACAGCGGGACCCATCGGCTGTACTGGACATTGATCAAAATGAACTAGGCAACTCAATGGCAGTGATGGGAGGGAGGGAACGAGTGGGAAAGAGGGAACAGCTGATGCTATGCAAAAGGAAAGGAATGTACATATGACCCAATGTGGAAGAAATAACTATTGTCAAAGTCTCATAGAACTCATACACTTTATAGACCACAACAGACAATTTGTCCCATGAAAGTTAGAATGTATTTGTGACTTTAAGCATCACTATACCACAATACTGTGAAATTATGTAATTAATCACAATAAAGAATTTGCAAAAAAAATGTGAAATACACACTCGAATTCCTGACTTCCAGTGGTGATATGGAAAACCATCTTCCTCTTTTCACTATATTCAAATGCAGTTAAGAATCCTGGTTCCTATGGAAAGATAATAGGACAGGTTAAAAAAGAGCATAAAGTGATGGTTACAATGTCAAATGCTGCCAAAAACTACATGCTCAATGATCAAGGTCATCTCTTGTTGCCTTTATCTTCAAAGGCAATATCGGATTCTGGTTTAAAACACACAGAACTGCTCTCTCCCATGTAAGTTCAAACTATAGCAAACTATAGCAAACTAAGTTCAAACTAATACAACTCATAATGTATAGTATATACTTATATAGTTGTATGATAAGGGGTAAGCTACTTAATCTTGCTGTACTTTAGCTTTCTATGTTAGGTTTAATGAGTATAGTAATATGTCTCTTTATAGGGTACCTGTGAAAAGTAAATGAGACAGATTTGTGGCACAAAGCAGTACAGTGTTTTATTGAAGGAGTCAGTTGATTTTATTCAGCAGAATTTTTTTCCAACTCCAGATGTTTCAAAAAGCACAGAAATTATTGGTGTTGGGAAAACTGGGCATCCAAATGTAGAAGACTAAAATTGGATCCCTGTCTGTCACACTGTACCAATATCAACTCAAAATGTATCAAAGACCTTAAATTCAGACTTGAAACTTTGAAGCTACTACAAGAGGGAATAAGAGAAACATTAGAACTTTATAGGCATAGGCAGGAACTTTTTGAAGAGTCCCAGGGTCACAGCAAATAGGAAAGAGATTTGACAAATGGTATTACATCAAACAAAAAGGTTTCTACAAAACAAAGAACATAATTACTAGACTAAAAAGATAGCCAACAGACTGGAAGAAGATCTTTACTAGTTAAACACCAGACAAAGCCTAAAATATATAAGGAGCTCAATAAACTACCCTCCCCCAAATTAATAACCCAATCAATAAATGGGCATCTACCCAGAGCATTACACTATTTCAATAGCCAAGTTATGGAAACAGCCTAGATGCTCTACAATGGAAGAATGAATCAAGCAACTGTGTTACATATACAAAATGGAAGTTAGTCATCCATTAGAACGAATAATATATGTCACTTTCAGAAAAATGGATGTATCTAAAACAAATCATGTTAAGTGACGTAAGTCAGACGGTACATGTTTTCTATGTAGAGGCTAGATCTAAAGTACAAATATGCATGATAACCTACAGGGTTCAATTCATTTATACATGAACTAAAGCAGGACATACTAAGGGAGGAATCCAAAGGCATCTTTTTTTTTGCTTGTAAGTCATGGGTCTTAAACTCTGGGCCTGGGTGCTGTCCCTGAGCATTTCAGCTCAAGGTCAATGCTCTTATCATTTGAGCCACAGCTCCACTTCTGGTTTTCTGATGGTTTATTGGAAATAAGAGTCTCACGGACTTTCCTGCCTGGGCTTTGAACTACCATCTTCAGATCTCCAAAGGTGCAATTCTGAACAACTAAAGGACTATTTATCAAAATGAATACCAGGAAGTGAGAACATTTTTTAGGGGGTGGGCAAAGTGGGGGGCACAGGAATGGAGGGAGTAGGGGTGAGAAAATATTGTTTTTATACTCAATATACATTATATAAAATATGAACTATGTAACTTGAGGGTAGGGGTGAGAGGGGAAAATGGGGAAGAATGAAAGAGGTGACCAAGAAGCATTGTATTCATAACCCAACCTGTGAAATTGTAACCCCTTTGTACAAATACTTAACAGAAATGCTAAAAACTAAAAAAAAGCACAGAAATTTCAGTTTTCACTGTGATATAACAGCATTTTACAACTCATTTGCTAAGTGAACTACCGCTGATGTAGGGAAATTAATGAAAATGGAGCCCCATGTGGTGCAATGTGTGCCTGCTTTGTTGTTTCATGCTATTACAGTGGTTCTCAACTTGGGAGAGGGAAGAGCAAACCCAGGACCACCTTTAGCTTAGAGATCAGACTCATGGGTGCAGAAAAAGGATGTTTGAGTGAAAGAGGGTTTCTTTTCTTTGATAATGAGATTTCATTTCCAAAGAAATAAAGACTAATGTCTAAGAGCCATGAAGTAGCAGTTTCCCAAATGTTGGGTACTTCTGTTGGGCTTCAACACTTCAGCAGTTGAGGAACTGGCCACTGGGGTACAGTGCCTGAGCAACTAGGCTGCATTCTCAGAAGCTCAGCGGGGTCCTTTCCAAATTCAGGCCCACAATGCCACTTGCAATACTTTCCTGCTTGACTGCTTCTGAAGAAGAAAGCCAATTGGCTGTTCATGAAGACAGCTGGACCAGACTAGTTGGTATGAACCCAGAAATGGAGAAATATAAAGGAGGTTGATCTATAAAGAGAGAGACTTGGTGACTTTTGCATGTTACTATTTACAGAGCTGGTATCTCTAGGGACCCCCCCCCCCCCCAAAGCAGCCTACTTTTTCCTAGCAGCTACATGGGCTACTTACTGTGCCCCAACTGGAAGGTTGCATCAATGAGCATATTCATAGTCATATTTATTCAAACTGCACCCGTGTAGACTGCTGCTAGTCTTCAGTTGGCCTATACTAAGAGAGTACTATTTCTTTGATACCAAGTGCTTCATCACAGTCATAGATATGGTTGAGAAGACAAGGTAGAACTAAGGAGGAGGCAGGTAAAAACTCAGTAAAAAGAAGGTAGCCAGGTGCCAGTGGCTCATGTCTGTATTCTTAGCTACTCAGGAGGCTGAGATCTGAGGATCTCAGTTCAAAGCCAGCCTGGGAAGAAAAGTCTATCGGATTCTCCAATTAACCATCAAAAAGCCATAAGTGGAGATGTGGTGCAAGTGGTAGAATGTTAGCCTTGAGTAAAAAAAGCTCAGGGATAGGCACTGAGTTCAAGCCCGAGGACCAACAAAGAGAAGAAGGAAAAAAAGGAGGAGGAGGGCTAAGAAGGTAGCTCAGTGGTAGAGTGCTTGCCTTGCATGCATGAGGACCTGGGTTCGATTCCTCAACACCATACAAACAGAAAAAGCGGGAAGTGTCACTGTGGCTTAAGTGGTAGAGCACTAGCCTTGAGCTGAAGAGCTGAGGGCCAGTGCCCAGGCCAAAGTCAAACCCCTCGGCCAACCAAATAAAAACCCAAAACAACAACAAAAAAAAAAAAAAAAAAGAGGAGGAAGAACAGAAAAAGTATAAAGAAGACAAAGTTTTGGAAAAAAATTACCTTAATTAGCATTCTAGGTATTTATTTTTGCCAGTCCTGGGGCTTAAGCTCAGGGCCTGGGCACTGTCCTTCAAGGCTAGTACTCTAACATTTGAGCCACAACACACTTATGGCTTTTTTCTGTTTATGTGGTACTGAGGAAATCCAGGGTTTCATGTATACTATAAGCACTCTACTACTAAGCCACATTCCCAGCCCTATTCTAGGTGTTTAAATCCCTATCTTTTATAAACCCCTCAAGGTTTCATAAACAGTTCTTGCTTTGGAAATGAAGTGATAAAATGTTAACAAGGACAGAATAATGTTGTGATCTACAGGACTCTTGAGTCTTCCTACCAGAACAGGATAACATTCATAATGTTCATAATGAGAAAGGTTACAAAGATTCACTAGGCCCTTCTGAGCTAGAATAGTCAAGGATGTGTCTAGCTCACAATAAGTTTGTTGGCTGCCTCTTTAATCTTATCCACTTTGGCTTCTGAGAGCCCTTTGATGTTGCAGAGTGCTCTTCTTGTTGTCATTTGTATCCCTTTGATGGTACAGATTCCTACTGATTTTAGTTTCTTAATGTCTGCCACATTCTGTAAATAAAAGGATAACACAGGTTGATTAAAGGCCAGTCTGAAAGGCTTTCACACTATGTCATGTGCTTTCCAGTCCATCCTTCCATCATAATGCCATCTTTATACAGGCAATCAGGTGGAACCCACCCACCACATAGACAAATGTTCTGGAAATATCTGAGTAGAACATACCCAGCAGGCTGCCAAATGTTCTGGCTGTGCCCTGATTTCCTAAGAATGTTAGTGAGACCATGGCAATGTAACAAGGAACTCAAAAGAAAAGTCTGTTGGTGGAAAAACTAACAAATTTAGCACACATTCACCCCCTCAGTTCAGCTCCTTCCTTCTATAGAACTTCATTACCAATATGTTCCTCTAAATTTTTTAAAGTTTTTCCCCCTTCTGCCTCTAGAAAATGCAAATAACTACATCACCAAAAGACTGGGAGTTTCTCATGCTTCTGTTTTCAAAAATCAATGGAAAGAGATTAAACATGAACTTCAGAAGATAACATAGGCCAATTCCTGGTGGCTCTTGCCTATTATCTTAGCTACTTAGGAGGCTGAATTCTGAGGATTAGGATTCAAAGCCAGCCAGACAGGAAACTCCGTGAGACTCTTATCTCAAATAAACTACTGAAACAAACAAACAAAAAAAAAAGGCAGAAGTGGCACTGTGGCTCAAGTGGTAGAGTGATCTCCTTGAACAAAAGAAGCTCAAGGACAGTTCCCAGGCCCTGAGTTCAAGCCCCAGAACCAGAAAAATAAAAGATGGCATAGGTGATAGCCACTGAAATCCATCTAGTCTTTTTTTCAAAATTGGTGTTTCTGCCATCATTTGCATCCATTAACCGACAAAACTAAGTTTTCTGTTAATGGAAGCAGTATCTGTCCAATAATGTTTGACTTGAAAAAACAACAACAACAGGGATTAGCTCTACTGAGAGTTCTGAACTTCCAGTTTAATCAGTCATTCTCTATTAGGACCTATTCTGAACCTGAGGCTCTTGACAGTTTTCAGTGATAGTTTTGGAAGGGTGCTACTGAGTAGAGAAAGGGAAATGGTCTGACATGATCGCAGCCATCTTGAGTTTTAACTGTCATGACTGCCTCAGAGTGACATTAGTTTTTCCAGTAGAATTTCCCAGTATAGTATAAAGATCAAATTGTTAGAATGGTATGTGGACCGTTAAGAGTAGACCTTGGAATATGCCTCTTTGATATTAGCTTAAGGCAAACAAATACATTCTGGATTGAAAGCATTTGTCTGAGTCAATAATGTGACTCAAAAATCTTGGTAATTGGGCGGGGAACGTGGCTTAGTGGTAGAGTGCTTGTCTTGCATGCATGAAGCCCTGGGTTTGATTCCTCAGTACCACAAACAGAAAAATCTTGAAGTGGCTCTGTGGCTCAAGTGGTAGAGTGCTGATCTTGAGCAAAAAAAGCTCAAGGACAGGGGCTGGGAAGGTGGCTCAGTGGTAGAGCGCTTGCCTTGCATGCATGAGGCCCTGGGTTCAACTCCTCAGCACCATATAAGCAAAAAGAAAAAAGCCGGAAGTGATGCTGTGGCTCAAGTGGTAGAGCACTAGCCTTGAGCTGAAGAGCTGAGGGACAGTGCCCAGGCCCAGAGTTTAAGCCCCACGACCGGACCCCCCCCCCAAAAAAAAAAAAAAAAAAAGCTCAAGGACAGTGCCCAGGCCTTGAATTCAAGCCCTAGGACTGGCAAAAATAAATAAATAAATAAATCTTGGTAATGCTGCTGTGCAGACCACACTCTGTCATTAAGTCTCCTTAATAGATTATACTCTGTGCACGACTGGATCTAAGCCAAGCAGTTTTTCATGCCTGTAATACTAGCTACTCAGGAGGCAGAAAGTGGGAGAATCAAGATTTGAGGCTAGTCTAGGCAAAAAGTTTGCATGATCTCATCTCAACCAACACAGCGCTGTGCTGGTGGCATGTACCTGTCTACCCCATTATGTGGGAAGTATAAATAGGAGGACTGAAGTCCATGAGAAAAACAAAAAACAAAACAAAACCAAAAAAAAAAAAAACCTCCAAGATTGTATCTTAAAAATAATTAAAAGCGGGGTTGGGAAGATGGCTCAGTGGTAGAGCGCTTGCCTTGCATGCATGAGGCCCTGGGTTTGATTCCTCAGCACCACATAAGCAAAAAGAAAAAAGCCAGAAGTGGCACTGTGGTTCAAGTAGTAGAGCGCTAGCCTTGAGCTGAAGAGCTGAGGGACAGCACCCAGGCACAGAGTTCAGGCCCCATGACTGGACCAAAAAAAAAAAAAAAATAATAGTAATTAAAACCTAAAAGGGCTGGGATGTGACTTAAGTGTTAAGAGCACCTGCCTAGCAAGCATAAGGTCCTGAGTTTAGACCCTAGTACTGGAAAAACAACAAGAAAAGACTGGTTCTAGCTGCCTTTTTACTTTCTCAATGCACTCTCTCTCACATCTTGGGACCAACTCCAATGCAGAAGATAAACCTGCCATATGAAACAAAGATTTACCCAGTCCCAAATGCTAATAAGGCCAATGTTGAGAAACTCTGAGTTGGATAATTTAAGTTGAAAAACTACTTACAATTCCATGTTTCTGTAATAGGTCAATGTCTTGAAACAAAGACTCCTAAATGAAATGCAACAGAAAATGGAGTTTTTATTCATATCCAACTGTTTTGCATTTTTAAAGAGTTAATTCATTACTGAGTCACTTTAAAAATACCTTTAATTCTACTTGTGTAGGCAGACTGAGGTGGAAGCACTAATTTTTTTTTTCAACTGCATTGCTACATATAACACCAATATTGTAAGTTTGGTTAGCCAATCCTTTTTCCATAGCTTTCTAAAAATTAAAAAAAAACTTTATCCAGCCGGGCGCTGGTGGCTCACGCCTGTAATCCTAGCTACTCAGGAGGCTGAGATCTGAGGATTGTGGTTCCAAGCCAGCCCAGGCAGGAAAGATCGTGAGACTCCTATCTCCAATAAAACCACTAGAAAACTGGAAATGGAGCTATAGCGCAAGTGGTAGAGTGCTCGCCTTGAGCTGAAGAGCTGAGGGACAGCGCCCAGGCCCAGAGTTCAAGCCCCATGACCGACCAAAAAAAACAAAAACAAAAACAACAACAACAACAAAAAACTTTATCCAAAGCAGTGGAACAATATTTTACCTATTTGAAATGTTTTCTCAACCTTATTCCTCTCTAGCTCTTGATCTTATTTTTCTAAGGTTCAGACTGCTGCTATATAACAGGGTGCAAGGGTACCAGTAAGGTCATACTAACCAATGTATTTATAATACTTAAATACAGGACTGGGATGTGGCTTTGTAACACAGCATTTGCCTAAGATAAATCAGACCAAAGGTTCTATCCCTTGCCTCACAAAAACAAAACTAACAAAAATCACTTTAAACCATTTGTTAAGTAGCACCCCTTGCCAAACAATTTGTTACATATTTATAATATATACCTATGTCAGATTTCTACCTTCAGTTTCTAAAAATATCAGATAAAGGAATTTGATTTTTGTGGAATGACTAAATGTCTCCATATCTCTCAGACTTTGTAGTCATACCTCTTCATCCTGGAATCCTGATTCTTCCTGTACATGATCCTCCTTCATGTTGAGAGGGAGCAGAAAAACAACCAATTCTGGGAAAATAAGAAATATTAAGTAGTTGTAGTTCATACAGGAAAGAAAAACAAAACACCTTTGTTGAGATGCCTCTGATTTCATTTCAAAGTCACCAGTGATCAGGAAAGGACATTATATCTTTTGGAAGCATTGGCCTGGTCTATCTTTTTGACTATACTTGTGGCATTATTTCTTATGTATGCTGGGGCAGGGACTAGGATGGGCACAACTTAAGTTTCTCTTTCCTCAACACTAATGACCTTTTTATATCTTGATTTCCTTTTGCACACTTAATCATAACTATGGAAATAATTTTATTGCTTTTTGGGAGGTATTAACTTTTCAAGATCATATTTAACAACTTCTCAAACACTGACATTGTGTCATTCTTCCTTGTATCTTCTCTTGGTACCTCAAGCTTAGTCTAACCTCAACAAAAAGATTATTTTTCTTATATGCAATTAATGTATTTCTTCTTGCTGTGAATGGGAGCTCTGATAATTCACTTCTTTAAAATATTGGTTAGCTGGGCACCAGTGGCTCACACCTGTAATCCATCAGTTTCAAGCTGGGCAGGAAAGTACAAGAGGCCCTAATCAACAATTACTCACCAAAAAGCTCAAGTCGTACAACGCCAACCTTGTGCACAAAAGCTCAGGGATAGTGCCCAAGCCCTGAGTACAAGTCCCAGGACTGGCGCATGCACACACACACACACACACACACTTTTTTTGTTATACAGTATTTAAAACTTTTATGATTTTGTAAAAATATGGTGAAGACTCAATACTAAAAGGTTGGGAATGAAAGGCCCTAACAAGATCTTTAACTGATTCAACATTGTGGAATTTTGCTTTTAAAACAAGCTTGAAGGCACCAATCATGCTCACTTAATAAACTCATTCTGTTCTATTCCCTCATTTCATACCACAGTCCCAAGTAGAAGCCTGCTCAAAGGGGGCAAAAATCAGTAAAGCGGGAGGTGGGGGGAAGGAAAGGCGCAATGGAGGCACCGTTTGAATGGAATCTTCTAGAACATCGTCCCTCAGCTAAACCACCCCAAGTTCCACAGGCTGTCTTCGGGAAACGTCATCCACTTCTTCTCCCCGGGGTATAAACAGGGTTCCCGAGGTGTTCTACCAAGTGACTCCCAGCGGCCTGGGGCTCGGACGGCCTCGCCGGGCCTCGCTGGGCCTCCCTGACCGGCACGAGGCTGGGACCCCCGTCCCGGCCGGACTCGGGCTCATTCAGGGAGGACAGCAGCGCCGGGGCCCCAATCGCCAGGGGGCGCCCCGGAGCTTCCCTCGGGTTCCTCAGGGGCCTCGATTTCCCTGCTGCCTCTCCTCGCACCTGGCCTCCCCTCAGGGTCTTTAAGGCGAATCTCTCAGAACCCTGCTCGGGATTCCGCGGTGGGCCCAGTATTCCGACTGAGAACGCGGCTCTGGCGACTCGCGCGTCGAAGACCGAACCGTTTGGCGCCAAACCCGCCGGCTCCGAGCGCCTGACCACGCTAGGGGCGGGGCGAGCGCCGAGTGCAGAAGGGGTGGGGCTCTGAGGGGCGGGGCCGTGCGCCGTGCGCAGGGGGCGGGGCGCAGGGGGCGGGGCGCAGGGGGCGGGGCGCTGGGGGCGGGGCGGAAGCGGGCCCCCAGGGCCAAGTGGAGCTGCGAAAGAACGGTGCTGGGAGGAACCCTGGGATGCGGGAAGGTCGTTCTGGAGGATGGTGCTGACTAGAGAGGGCCCAGTCTTGGTGCTAGAAGAGAGAAAGACAGGTGCTGGAACCAGGGAAATGCTCCTAAGGCAGGTGGTCCTAGAGGCCCAGCAGGGATGCTGGCCCTGGCCAGAGGATGTCCTCAGATGCTTAACCCAAGCAGAACCTCTGGTGAGGAGGTCAATATGGGTCCTTTTCCCCTGCCCAAGACAGTTCCTCTTTGAGCTATCCATAACAGATTTTATACCTCAAAGTTCCTAATTTCCTTCCGCCTCTCCCTGTTTGCCAGTCTGCTTTCTGTGATTGAATTACCCGAGGGCCATTCATCATGGAGAGTCATTTTTCCTCCTCCTAACGAGTAGTTTTAAATAGACTACAAAAGCTAAACATATTTTGGTGCCATTTAAAATAATTTGTGGGCCGGTCGTGCTAGCAAGGCCATTTCTTTCAGCTTCACCCTTGTCCCCCGAAATGGAAACACACATGTTGAAGATAGTCGGGAAACCTTTGAAAGAGCATCTGTTGAGGGTGGCAGCCATATATCTTGGATGGATATCTGTGCAAACAGTTCTCAGGTTCAAAGTACAAAGCAACTCCCCCCCCCCCCCCGCATTCCTTTCTGCATCATTTTGCTGGAATTGAAAAAAAAAAGTCCACAATCGAGCAGCTGGCATTTTGTAGGATTCTCTCCTTTCCCAAGGCGATTGTTTAGAGAGACCACAAATAAGTGCCATAGCTCTTTAAAATCTGTTATTTTCCAAAAACATAGCCTGTCCTCCTTGTTAAATGGAAATTAATGCCCATTTTGGGAGGCACTGGATGCGATGATAGGCGCTTACAGGAGTCCTCACCTAAAATAATTATAGTAACTTTTGAACGACTTGTTAGATGAAGAACTGCAAAGAGTACAACAAGCCCATTTAGGGAAATGTAACATATGTAGTTTGCTGTAGTGACAGCTGGGAGAGAGAAATGTTCATAATATTTGAGAGTTGTGTGCAATACACTTAGAAAAAAGAAACTGCAATGAGATTGTTAATGACAAATTCATGAAGTGAGGATAAAAATTCTGCTGGGATATCATATTGATGGTTATATAAAATGTGTGTGTGTGTGTGTGTGTGTGTGTGTGTGTGTGTGCGCGCCCGTACTTTCTCTTGTGCTCAGGGCCTGGGTGCTATCCTTTAACTTTTTTTGTCAAGGCTTGGCATTCTACCACTTGAGCCACAGCTCTACTTTCAGCTTTTTGGGTTGTTAATTGGATATAAGAGTCCCATGGCTTTTTGTTCAGGCTGGTTTTGAACCAGGATCATGGACTGCTGAGTAGCTAGGATTATAGGTGTAAGCCATCAACAGTCAGCTAAACCTTAATTTTTTTGGGTGGGGGTGGGAGAGGGGAAAGGATGGGAAGGGGAAACAAAGGAGGAGGCAACAATGCTTGATAAGAAAGGTACTCATTACCTTGCCCATATAATTGTAACCCCTGTATACAGTATTTTCACAATAAAAAAATTTCAAAAAAACGTTTTTTTGTCAGTGGTAGGACTTGAACTCAAGGCCTGAGTGCTATCCCTGAGCTCTTTTGCTAAAGTCTAGCACTCTACCACTTTGAGCCACAGAACCACTTCTGGTTTTCTGGTGGTTAATTGGAGATAAGAGTTTCATGGACTTTCCTGCCCCAGGATGGCTTCAAACCAAATCTCAGCCTCCTGAGTAGCAAGGATTACAAGCGTGAGCCACCAATGCCTAGCTTAAAAATATTTAAACAACAACCAACTCTGGAGGATTTAATTAATGCTGTGCATATGAAGACCTTTCCAGTCAAATCAGGGCAAAAAATATATTCAGTCTTTCATATCATACAAAAATTCTGAATATGGTGAAGGTAGCATTTCAAACTGCTGAGAAAATGATGAGTTCGGTGAATGGTACTGGGATGATGGAACCATCTGGAAGAAAAGCAAAATTGGAACAATACTTCACACCTTATGCCAAAATATGCTCCAGATGGATCAAAAAATTAAATCCAAATAGTAACAAAAGTCCTAGTAGAAAATAAGGAAGAAAAATCTTGTGAAGGGGAGTGGGGGGGTGGTATGGGGTTTTGAACTCAGGGTCTCACACTTGTTAGACAGGCCCTCGAACACAGAGCCAGACCTCCAGCTCAGAAAAAAAAATTAAGTACTACTTAAAACCTGGAAACCATAATTTTAAAAAATCCCACATAGCAAAGTGCTACTTTCCTATCCAAGATGCAGAGAGCATGGCAGGCTGTAGCTTCCATGTCAGCTAGTAACTAGATACTATAACCTGCCCAATTAAGAAAATCCTGGGCTGGGAAGGTGGCTCAGTGGTAGAGCGCTTGCCTTGCATGCATGAGGCCCTGGGTTCAATTCCTCAGCACCACATGAGCAAAAAGAAAAAAGCCAGAAGTGGCGCTGTGGCTCTAATGGTAGAGCGCTAGCCTTGAGCTGAAGAGCTGAAGAGCCGAGGGACAGCGCCCAGGCCCAGAGTTCAAGCCCCACGACCGGACCCCCAAAAAAAAAAAAAAAAAGATCTAGCACAATTTTAAACTGTTACGCTTTACTGCCACTCTGTGGACAACAAGCTTATCGCCGACTAGAGGAACATGGTGACAGGGGAGTGGGCTTCCTCAAATTCCTGGGGATATATACATTCTTGCGGTGTTACTCTTGAGAAATATTTTACTAGAGAAATGAAGACTCATCATAATTTCACTGGGAGCCCATGGCTCATGCCTGTAATGCTAGCTACTCAAGGAGGCTGAGATCTTAAAATCCAAATTTAAAGCCACCCTGGAGACTCTTATCTCTAATTAACCACAAAAAGTCAGAAATGGAGCTGTGGCTTAAGTGGTAGAGTGCTAGCCTTAAGGAAAAAAAAAAAAAGCTAAACTAGCACATAAGACCTTGAGTTCAACCCCCAGTACCAGAAGAAAAAAAAAAAAAAGACTGGTAGATATCCACTTAAACATATTTACCTCATTCAGAAAATTGATTCTCGGGACTGGGAAGGTGGCTCAGTGGTAAAGCGCTTGCCTTGCATGCCTGAGGCCCTGGGTTTGATTCCTCAGCACCACATAAGCAAAAAGAAAAAAGCCAGAAGTGGCGCTGTGGCTCAAGTGGTAGAGCACTAGCCTTGAGCTGAAGAGCTGAGGGACAGCGCCCAAGCCCAGAGTTCAGGCCCTACGACTGGACCCCCAAAAAAATTTTTTTTAATTAAAAAAAAAAGAAAATTGATTCTCTATTTGATTCCCTACTATTTATCAGACTATTCTAGGTGTTGGATGCTGGGAACTTAACAAGAAACAAGACCCCGACCCTTCTGAAGATTCTAGGTAAGTACACTGTCAATTTTAAGTGTTCCTGCTCCTCTCCCCTGAATGAAAACTTATTCTCCATGAATGCTCTTGCCTTTCAACATAATGTGGGCTTTATGAATGAACACCAAATCTTGGATATTAAGAGTATGTGAATTGCTCTGGAGAGAGATTTTATATTTTGTCCAGAGTCATTTGCTCACATTCTAAAGTTAATAAAATACCTTCTCCTCTTCTCTGAGAGACCTTTGCTTATGTTTGAGGAGTTGTGAAGACCTGGGACTTTCACTGCCCTCCATATAGGAGGTGTGCCACCCCACCTCACCCTGCTGTGCAGAGAAGGGCAAATATATCTGCTATTCTATCCATCTAAACCCCAAGTCTCATGTTTTGGGGTTATTTTGCTGTGGTAGGATCTGCATGCACAGTTGATCAGTTGACCCTCAATCTGTGAGGAACTGGGGCCTGGGAAGCCATTGCCAAGAAGTTCTGTCAGTAACTACACTGTTACAGAAGGTAAGTTTTATATATCAAACCTCTATTCCCCCTAGTCAACCATTAGTAACAGCAGGGCACCAGTAGCTCATAGCTGTAATCCCAGCTACTCAGGAGGCTGAGATCTGAGGACCACTGTTCGAAGCCAGCCTGGCAGGAAAGTCTAGAAGACTCTTATCTTCAATTACCCAGCAAAAAGCTAGAAGTGGAGCTGTGACTCAAGTGGCAGAGTGACAGCCTTGAGTGAAAAAGCTAAGGGAATGGGCCCAGGTCTTGAGTGCCAGGCTCAGAATGAGAGCATGTGCACACACACACACACACACACAAAGAAAAAGAAAGAAAAAGAAAATCCACAAAAACAACTTTTACTAGTAGGTTTTAGAAAACTATATTTTACACTTTTCCTAAAAATGTCCCTGGACATTATATTCGTAAACTGCTTTGTTGAATGGTAATTTCTTTGTACAACTACTTAAAGATATATATATATATATTAAAAGTCTTAGGAAGAAGCTTCTTCATAATCATAATGACATGGCTCAGGTGTCATTCCACTGTCACCTGGTGCTCATGGATGGTTACCTCAATGGGCTATGCAGCTCATTTTCAAAGAAATTGGCAAGAACAGACTGTGGTCACGCCCCTTCTTTATACTATCCATTTACTCACCATCTGTCACTCAAAGCTGAAAGGTACAGCAGATTCTATTCACATAGAAGTATATACAAGGGGCTGGGAAGGTGGCTCAGTGGTAGAGTGCTTGCCTTGCATGCCTGAGGCCCTGGGTTCGATTCCTCAGCACCACATAAGCAGGGGAAAAAAAAGCCGGAAGTGGCACTGTGGCTCAAGCGCTAGCCTTGAGCTGAAGAGCTGAGGGACAGCGCCCAGGCCCAGAGTTCAGGCCCCACGACCGGACCCCCCCCCCCCAAAAAAAAAGAAGTATATACAAGAAAAGTGTGAGCCAAACAGTTTTTAAAAATCAATGTTTAACTTACTAAACTAATAACATTTTAAATTTTAGTTTTCTGGGCTGGGAATGTGGCTCAGTGGTAGAGTGCTTGCCTAGCATGTATGAAGCCCTGGGTTCACTTCCTCAGTACTGCATGAACAGAAAAAGCCAGAAGTGGCGCTGTGGTTCAAGTGGTAGAGTGCTAGCCTTGAGCAAAAAGAAGCTCAGGGACATTGCCCAGGCTTTGAGTTCATCAAG